AAAGCAAGAACAATAGTTTATACACAATAACATGGTGTAGCATCATTTATTTCGTTGGCTCCTCTCATCAGCTGTGTACAGCCTAAAGAAATTATTAGGTTCATGTACAGAATAATTTTAATATACTTGCAACTGTTCTGTCTGTCTGTTTACGACATAGAACTATACACAAATGTGCGGAAGTTCAAGTCGCCACACTCCGTGTAGCACGCAAAGCAAGAGAAGAAAGTACAAGAAAAGCATAATAGAAGCAGTGAGCAGAGGTGTGAGACAAAGGAGTAATAAAGAAAAACAAAACAGTTTCATTAGAGATCATAAGTCACAGGGAGTGGATGCATCTTCGCCACTGAGAACGATTTTGAGCCATGTCACCAATTGTTTCCAACCATAGACTTTTACCGTCCCGAGGACCCCAACCAGTCAGGAAGTCTACACCTTCCTACGTGGCTTAGACCAACTGTTGTGGATTTCATTGACTGGTGCAGCCAAGTTTTTGTTTGACCGCCGCTAGCTTTTTTCCAGCCTGACCCTATATCCGCTAACATAGCTCGTCGAGGGAGGCGATGGCTTGGCATACGTAACACATGTCCTAACCATCTCAGTCTTTGTAACTTCACGACTTCGTCGATTGATTTCCCCTGTTTACCTAGAACTCGACGCCTAACCTCAATGTTGCTCACCTTATTATGCCACTTTACTCGGGAAATAGAGCGCAGGCACCTATGATCAAAGACAGCTAGTCTTTTCATGTCTTCCACTCTCAGTGGCCAGGTCTCACAGCTAGCCATAAAGGAGGACGGAGCGGACTGATGAGCAGTACACCCGCCCTTTGGTCGATGTTACATGATTTCAGTTGACAAAAGACTCCAAACTTAATAAAATGTCCTCAGGAATTATACTTATGCATAGAAGGTTTCTAACTATATATACAAAAATTTACGTATATCAGCCGCAGAATTTACATTGGGAGATCAGAAAGAAAAGTACACCTTCGTATTTTTGAACATGTACCGAAAATTCTACGTCTCAAAGGAACAAATGTTTACAATAGTGCCACTGGCAGACATCTCATCACTACGGGTCATCAGGTGGATATCACGAAATCCTTGAAAATTATCATTGGACATTTAATTCATCTCAAGTTTCCCGAAGCAGCTGCTATCAAACGCCTGAAACCTGATTCTGAAAGAAGCAGTTATCAGTCTTTAATTGTGTTCTGGTAAATGAGTGTCTTTACTCTCCTTTACCGGATTACGCAATCGCTGTCTGTAACCTCTCCTCTCCTTTTATATAGTGTAACACCATATTTGTTAAAAATCATTATTTGTAAAGCCTCAGCGAGATTGATTGAAATGAGTAATTCCAACGTTTCGTTCAGAAATCTGGTCCGAACTTCTTCAGGGAAATTAATCGAAATTAACATAACAAAGGTTTATATATAAAAGGAACATCTCTTGTTTTTTAAAAACTTTGTCCAATCATGATTCATAAAACAAGTAACAACAAGTATAATAAACAAAACTGTATGAGCTGTGATCAAAATTCGACCTCGGACTTACAAATATTGGTCTAACTTTGTTAAACACTTTAAACAGAGTGTGTATGTGTGGGTAATCTCATTCGGCGCCTAAATACTTTAGAACTATTCTGTCAAATCTTGACGACAGTTCATTTGAAGTAACACCATATTGTTACTCAATTTATTAGCTACTCATCATCTTATTCACCTCTTGGCTTTATTACGTGACTCCGTTGCCAGCGGACACAAGCAATTCTTTTTGTTTAAACCCGAATCTTCTGAACATAACCCTATATGAGTGTAATTTCTACACATTGTTTATTAAGTTTGGAATTTCCTGTCAACTGACACCACGTCACATTTGCAGATATGTTGAAATTATTCTGTACAGAAACGTAAAAATTTCTTTAGCCTGCACGCAGCTGATGAGAGAAGCTAACGAAATAAATGATGCTACACCATCCTATTGTGCACAAACTATTGTTCTTGAAAAAAACAAAATAATCAGATTACATCATTGTAGTTATACAGTAATTACTATGGGGTTTACAGTACTCATGATGAAGAGAGAAGTTTTCAAGATAATCAACAACAAGAACACATCAGAATTGATAGTTTCGCCTATCAAGAACATATCAAGCCCAGATAAACTTAGATTAAAGCTGTATTAAATTTAGTTTAATGAGGTAATAAAAATCAGTCTGTAATAAATTGGAGCTGTGGCTGCTCACTGATCTAAGCGTTAGACTTCCAACCACTGAGACATGGATTCCAAACCCATTCTACCTAGAGTTGTCTTCATACAGTAAGTGTGATTTCTTTGATAGCTGCTTGGAGATGCAAATCATTGATTAACAAAAGCTCTAATAAATGAACAACATACAGTACTTATATCGTATGTTGTATGAGAAATACAGGAGTAAGGAAGATATAGATAGCAAACAGAAAGCAAATGTCATACAGTGTTAACGAAACGAAATCATATGGGGAAACTATGAGAAGAGCATATGACCAAGAAAGCTAACAGTCTCACACCAGCTGACAAATAACACATGACAACACACATAGCAATGCCTTGTCTTACATAAATATAAACATCAATTGATTCTCTTCTTTTTCTTTTTTCTCTATGTGATGATAGTAGCTTGGCCTTTATCCCAGTTTTGCTTTATGTTGATCATCATAATACCAAGACTCAAACAACACTGAATAGTAATAATAATAATAATAATAAACAGAGGAAGTGAAAAATAAACACGTCAGAACAGTAACGTGGGAAGAATACTATATACACACAGTAAAGAAAATTACTATGACTGTAATATATTACAACAGAACACTAAAATTGAGTATTGTTAAACACAAAAATCAGAATTCTGATGATGATAATAACATAGTATATCTCATTATTATACGTCAGGCAGTGGAAAACGAGAAGACAGGGATATCCTGGACCGACCGACGTGAAGAACCTAGAAGATCTGGATTTCGCGCGTGGATGATTTATGTTTGATGTCACACAAAATCGAAGACTTACAAACGAAAACCGACAAACTGGTCGAAGAAGCAGCCGGCGAAGACAGGACTCCACGTAAACATAGACAAGACAGAGGTTATGAAAATAACCAACCAAAAACAACAACAACAGCAGAAACATCCAGCGCCAATCACCATCAACAGGAGGGATTTGAAAGAGGCTACTTCATTCACTTCACTTATCTAGGGAGCATTGTCTCAACTACAGGAAGTCGGAACGGACGAGGATGTCAAATCGAGCGAGAATCGGGAAGGCGAGAAACACACACATTCATCAACCTGAAACAGCCAATCTGGAAATCTTCGTCACTCAGCCAGCATCAACAGCAAAATTCAGTCGGATTTTCAATACAAACAAAGTCAAGTCAGCCAGTTCTTCTATACGGATCAGAAACTTGGCGGGCGGGTGGGTCACAAAGAATATTTCCAACAGCCTGTTGCAGACCTTTATCAACCAACAACTGTCGTTGCTGGATCTATACTGAAGATCACATGGCCGGGCCGGAAAGAATCACCAACAAGGAACTATGGGCACAAACAAACAAACAAAACAAGAACCAATCGCCAACCAACAAATATGCAGGAGAAAGTGGACATGGATTGGACACTCACTCCCTGAGGAGGCCGCCACTGGGTGATATCGCGTGCGCTTCAGGCCATTGCTCAAGTGGGACCAGGCCGAAAGGGAAGCGGCGAGTGATGAGGGAAGTCCAAGGGTGACATGGAGGAGATCGTGTGAAGTGAAGAGGAGTTGAAAGAATATGGACTAACACGGATGCAGGTGAAAAGTACAGCAGAAGACAGAAGCAAGTAGAGACGTGCAGTTGAAGCCCTATGTTCCACTAGGAACCCAGGGGAACAATAATAATAATATTTGATTATTCCGCCGTAATCCTATTAATATTTCCCAAAATGTATTAGCATGTACATGCTTCATTCGAACATTTCATTTTATCAATACAAAGTGTGAATTACTACATTTCCCAGTGGTAACCTCATATGTCCCTCGACAAAACATATTTAAGGCATTTCTGGAAGCTAGTAAAACTTACTGAATGCTGAAAACACATGAAAGTAATGTGTTATTTACCTGACTATGATAATAATATGTGTTTTGAGATAGTTATTAATATAGGTTGTTTAGGCGACAGCTTAAAACAGTAAGCATGATTCAATAGAATGAGAAATCATTTAATTCAATTTAGATTTTCTCATCGATTGATTAGATCGAAGTGCTTAGTCTCAAGTTGATCATGTAACTTGGAGTCAATTGGTGGATAACATTTTCATCATGAGCTGACATCGGTTAGAGAACCATTGGAAAACCTGCAGGCAGTACTGGGCAGCTGTTCCGTCCTAGTTCGCGACTCTTCAGCAGTACGCATCCACCACAGGGGTATAAGCCCAGAACCTTCTGGTCACAAGGCTACCGAGCTCGTAGACCATTAAACCAATCCAATGGCCAACCCATGAATTCTAACTTCTGCCAATTCACGATATAGCGCGACCCCTAGCCAATGTCTTCGGTGAGTATTTGTCCTCACACCCAACCTGCTGCACCCTACTGGCCACACCTTGTAACCAGAAGGTCCTGGGGTTCGAACCCATGTGGTGAGTGTGTACCATTGCAGAGTCCCAAACTAAGACGAAACAGCTGTCCAGGCTTTCCAATGGTTCTCTAACCCATGTCACCTCATGATCAAATCCTGTAACCAATCAACCAAATCCCTACAAACCAATACTTGGATAACACTTTGAGATTTGAAACTAAGGGTACTGGGTTTGAACCCAGTGGAGAATACAGTTGCATCTACCAATTATTGAATAAGAAATCAATTTGAATAATAATCAGTAAAGGAGAAGGGATAGAGAAAGAGAGAGAGAGAGGGAGAAAAAGATGATAATTTAACGATTAGAAGAAGAGTAGCGTAGATATTACATTTACCTGTTTATGCAAGCGAACAGCATCTTCATCCATATCTGCTAAACGCTGAACCATTTGTTTCGAGAAAATATCAGATAAGGTGGCATGTGCTTCAGATAAGTGTAAAGTGGAACCGAGCAATGTATTCCATATAGTAGTTGTTGTATACGGAGCCCAATGTGGACGTCTAAAATCATAACAGTAATCATAATAATAACAACCATATATAAATATTGAAAACTATAACAATACATCCTTAACATCAATAACAACTTAAGTGCAATTAAAGAGAAAAAAAAGATATAAGTTATCAAAGAATATTCTTTCTACGACTTCACTTCAAAACTATGCAGTTTTATATAGTGTTCAAAAAGGTCAGCAAAAATTGCCAATATAAGGTCAATTGTTCATAACGGTTGGTAACAACAACAAAACATATGAATTTATATATCAAGCAAATAATATCAACAAAACTACATAATCTAAAAACAATAAATGACCTCTACCAATCATAAATGATTATCATTAAAAAAAAACAGCAACTAAAATCGCTTGGAAACAATGACATTTTACAAAAGAGTAAGAGTTTCAGAATATTTTATTAAAGTTAGCAGTTTGAATGGAGAAAGTAAGACACAGAGATTGGAACTCGAATGAATACGGATTGCATACCAAGCGATTGGACGAGTTAAAGAAAGGAAAGTTTAAGGACACGGTAGCAAAAAGAGATTGGATAAACCGGCTTCTATATACACAGTTCAGGGTTTCCCTTGTATATAGTAAGAGTTTGTGATATGCACAAAAGATGTAGCCAGAAATTCTCCGAACGAGTTGGCCTTACCTTATATAATATCCCTTTTGAGAGATTTTTCTATTGATGCGGAATTTTAATGCAACTACTGGATAGCTGTTTCATCCTAGTTTTGAGACTTATCATCAGTACGCACCTACTCCCTGATCTCCAATTGTTCTCTAACTGATATCAATTTGTGGTCTAACCTGAAACAAATAGAATCCATACAAACTGGCTCCTGGGCGAGGTTGACTGGAGTTCTAGTGACAAGCCGTCGTGACCAGTGGGGTCCATCCATTCGCAAGTGAGGATGGAGTTCCCAACGATGACATTGGTTGGTAGTCGTGCAAAAATCACGAATAGGTAGAAGTTAGAATTCATAGGCCATTGAATCGAGTCCCAGTGGCTGAATGGTATACGAGCTTAATTTGTAACTGGAAGGTCCTGGGTTCGAACCCCAGCTGTGGATGCGTACTACCGATGATTCCCAAACTAGGAAAAAGCAGTTATCAAGTACTCCAATACTGGTTTTCAATGGTTCTCTAACTGATATCAATTCGTGGTCTAACCTGAAACAAATAGAATGCCTACAAACTGCTTCTTGAAAACTACTGATTCATATACTTTCAAGAAAAATAAAAATAACTCAATTATGAATAAGATTTTATTTTGATAAATCACAGTGTTACACAGTAATATTAACTGATGACCACGTTTCAAACACAATTTATTACTGCTCATAATAATATCAAGTTACTCACTCACGCAACTTGCTTCATTTATATAAACCTGTGGAATCGATTAGATAGTGGAATAAAAATCAATATAGGATAATGTACATTCAGAAATAATAGTACGAGCGTTATTGATCAATTACAATTAGATGGGAAATAAGACGAGTGTTTTTATAGTCATAATAAGTAACACTCATCTTATTTCCCATGTGATTGTATTTGATCAATAACACTCGTACTATTATTTCTGAATGTACATTATCCTTTATCGATTTTTATTCAAATATCTAGTGAATTCCACACATGTTTACAAATGAAGGAAAAAAGTTGATATGATTATGAGCGGCAATAGTTTGTGCTAGAAACGTCATCAGTTAATCGTACTGTAGAACACTGTGTGATTTATCAAAATAAAATATTATCCATAATGGAGTTACACTCCACCACAGTGCCCAAGTTTTATACTTATATCGAAAATAAAAATATATAGGTGAAAGCAGCAATTACAACAATCGGGTTTATGGTATACTCTAACGAGTGCAGTTATCACAGAGTTGCCATGTTCACGTAATGACATAAGTTACGTATTATTTAGATATTTGACAGCTAATTATGAATTGGAAACATTTTTATGAGGTATTTATTTGAAGAACTTCAGTGTTCTTCCTAGTCTGTGATGATGGGAAAAGTTACTTCATATAGTTATATTTAGACTTCAGGCTTCAAAGATTTTTTTCTTTATTACTCAATTGCTCATTAACGGATTATGAGCCGCATTTATTGTTTGAAGGCTGATGATACTATCCAGTTTCCCGGGTTGTAGTAGATGGAGTGAGACTCGAGTCCAGGACACGCTGGCTGAAAAATGGAGTGTTTATGCCAGTGAACCATATCTCATAAGTTGAATATATATAAAATTGTATTTTCATGATTTTGTGCTGCTATATGTGCAGCCTATTGAATCAGGCAGGCTTTGCTTTTTCTTGTGTCTCCGAATGATGATCATTCAAACTGGGGTATTTTTGCGTGTTCATGTCATTGCTCATTATGCTTATCATTAAACGAATATATCCCAACTGTCATATTTTGAATATCCGATAAGGTATGTAAATACATTGTGGCCTACTTAAATCACTGGGTTGACTAAATTTTCCATCGAATCAAATGCATCGTGTCTACTCCACTTCACATGGCTTTATAATAATACAATGATGAGTAAGAATCACAATGTCTACTCAAGTACATTTTCAAATAGTTTTGGACATATTGCTAAAAACTGTCTGAGGAAAATGGAGAAGAAACACTGTCGACTATTGGACCATGCCTTGAATAAAACAATACCGCCTCAATTAATGTATTAGAGTTTATTATAATGGTTGGGTGGCTTACTTAGAACCTGGACTACCGAAAAACCTCCATTAAAATATTGCATATAATTCTTCTAGTTCACTTTGTTTAAATTCAGTCAAATGTCTGTCTGTCTGTTTTCGACACAGAACTTTGCACATATGTGCGGTACTTCAAGTCACCACACTCCCTGCATGTAGCACACAAAGAAAGAGAAGAGAGTAGAAGAAATGCATAATAGAGAGGGTAAACAGAGGTGTGAGACAAAGGAATAGTAGTAACGAACAAAACAGTTTCATTGGAAATCATAAGTCACAGGGAGTGGATGCATCTACGCCCGCCATCGAAAACGATTTTGAGCCATATCATCAATTGTTTCCAACCATTGGTTTTTACCGTCCCGAGGACCCCAACCAGTCAGGAAGTCTACACCTTCCTACGTGGCTGGCTTAAACTAACTGTTGTAGACTTCATTGACTGGTGACATGTTTTGGTTTGACCGCCGCTAGCTCTTTTCCAACCTGACCCTATATCAGCTAACATTGTTTGTCGAGGAAGGCGATGACTAGGCTGGAATACGTAACACAATTCCTAACTATCTCAGTCGATGAAGCTTCACAGCCTCGTCGATTGATTTCCCTTCCTTACCTAGAACTCGACCGATACCTGACCTCAATATTGCTCACCTTATTATACCACTTCACACAGGACATAGAACGCAGGCACCTATGATCAAACACAGCTAGTCTTTTCATGTCCTCTACTCTCAATGGCCAGGTCTCACAGCCATAAAGGAGGACGGAGTGGACTGATGAGCAGTACACCCACCCTTTGGTCGATAGCCGGATATCACGTCTACGCCAGAGACGGAGTAAACTGGCAAATGCGAAACGAGCCCCCTGTATCCGTGCCGAGATTTCGTCAGAGATCAACCCGTTGGGGCTTATGGTACTTCCCAAATAAGTGAAGCGGTCAACGTGCTCTACCGCTTCACTTCCTATTTCTAATCTGAAATATGTCAAATATGACCTCTAATAGTATTGTTTACTCTGGTGAGTATTTAAAACATTCACAATCTGCCAATTCGCAAGTTCCAACTAAACATGTGAAAAAGCATTATCCTTGATGGCACTCAATCCCAATACATGGGATGACCATTCCTCATTGGTGTCTTTGGTTCACAAAATATACTGCTGAACCTTTTTTTAAAATTGGCATTCAACCAAAAATGTCACGTATTTCTCGAAGGAGAATAAGAAGAGATATCAGCGTAATAGATTGGTTCGCTCTCCAGGTCAGATAGAACTATGTCACAATACGATCTACTGTCAATTAGTCATTTATTTATTTGAAGATCCTGGGCGAAGGGGAATTATCATGCAATAAACTTCGCTGAAAATTCTGTATTTTCTATGAAAGCATTTTTCAGAATAAACCTACTATTATTATTACCATTATTATTGCGTCATATCACAGCTTGAAACAATAATCACTAGTTTAATTAACTAACACCAGATTTGTTTAGTTAGAATGACAATAACTAAAGAATAAGTAAGAGGAAATACAAAACAAGGGGGTGGCTATAAACATTTGAAGAGGCAACCAGTGGGGTTGGAAACTGCGTGAATGAATGATAGTGATTATTGTAATCAGGTATAGGAATGATCAATTGTAAAACAACAACAACAACAGCAGCAGCAGATAATTGACAATAATTTCAAATGAGACTGCCTGCGAATCCACTCTTTTTTTCTTTAAATATGTACACATGAACTAGAAAGTCGATAAAAGTTTAGTAATATTTAGATTGATAAAAAACTACAAATAAAATTATATACTGGATTTCGAGAGAAAAAACCACTTTACACTTATTCACTGATCTGATGATGAAGGCAAAGAAGAATAAGATACATCTGTTTATTTGGTTACAGGATTTCATCATGAGCTGACATTGGTTAAAGAACCATTGAAAAACAACCTGAGAGTACTGGACAGCTGTTTCGTCCTGGTTTGGAACTCTTCAAAAGACGCACCCACCGGGATTCGAACCCAGGACCTTCTGGTTACAAGGCGAGCTCGTATACCATTAAGCCACGTGGACCCGACCCAATGGCCAGCTCACGAGTTCTAACTTCTGCCAATTCACGACATAGCGCGACCACTAGCTAATGTCTTCGGTGAGTATTTGTCCTCACACCGAACTGCTGCACCCTACCGATCACATCTGTTTATTATTTGCATTTTCTGATGAAAAACCAGACAAAACGATGCTAAAGCTTTATGTTTTGGCGTTTGAAACTATGGGTACTGAGTTTGAGCCTCAGTGGGAATACCATCTACTCACAGACTGGGGGATTGCAAGTACATTTAGATGACAAGTCCTAGACAGGACGAAATGCGCATCCTAGATTCCACTGCCTGATCAGACATCGTCGAAGCATCCGCACACAAGGAGCTAATATGTCAACAGAGGCCGAACACTTCAGTTTATTCAATAGACAGGAAAGTCCAAACTGAATTAAGCAACTACTAATTATGTTAACTAACTCAAATACCCATAAAAAGTGGAATCCCATAGAGAAGAAAACTATAATTAGAATTGCTCAGAGGTGCTCTAGTGAATACCAACACCAGGAAATTCTCTGAATCTACCACAGTTTTGTTTTGACTAGAGTTCACCTTTGTAAGTTCATGAAGAAAATCCTATGGTGAAAATCGACTTTAAAACACGCCTACACTTGTGTACACAATGACACAAAGTGTGGTAATCAGAGTATTAACTGATAATAAGTACTATACTTTATGTTGATATAACTTTTTTTATTTTTATTAGAAACACACACTTGGTACATGATGAGTACAAGGAGATGCACCACACAACAATAATAAAAACAACATTGTATGAAGAAAATAGAGAGAGAATTAGCAAGGGATGTCATCCCGAAGGCAAGCAAGCGTATTTGTCAAGACCATGAAACACTCATCACCTCTTTATACTTTCAGAAAGGGAAGAAAGCAGGAAATTGCAGCATTTTCGTCATTCATTGAGATTCGTGATCTTATCTGATTTCATCTCGAGCTACCAACTTCAACTATCTCTCTAGCCTGTCACACATATCCTTCATCCCATAGCGCCACGTCATAAACTGGCCACCTGTCCTCTTTTTCCATCCGGTCGCAGAGATAGTGACCAGTGATCAGTAAGGAAGTCTCTGGAATGACATTCGTAGCACATATTCAAGCCACCGAAGTAGGTATTTTCAGATGACGACACTCAATAAATGGTGGTCTCCACCGTGTCGAAACATATACGCTGTTTGACATCATAACTACTCACGTGTGCTGATGCTATCGGAGGCACGTAATTTCTCGGAGACAGTAACGATCGAATAGACAGAATGGCCGCACATTCTCAGCTCAGACAGAACAAGTTCCAGAGGCATACAGTAAGACTACACAAGAAAGCATTGTAAACCTGACTTTCGATAGTCAGGCTGACGTTGCGAGGATGCTAGGTGGTTATCTAAATTGGCATATGCCACCCTAGTTTACACTATACGACTAGAGATTTCACCCGTCGCACCTCCACCACCACTTACACAACTACCTAGATACAAGAACTTGTCAACAACTTCAAGAGGTTCACTAGCGAGGGTGGGTGTAGGCACAGGCTTCTGCCAATCTTGCGGCAGTACTTTACACTTAGACGGCTCAAAGCACATTTATTTTATTTATTTTTTATGCCATACTTACAGACATTAATCACATTAATCACCAACGAATTAAATGTGACACCAGTAGCCTGCATGCTATTGCATAGTAAGACTATATCATCTGCATGTTCGAGGTCAAAAATCCCTTCAACACCACGACGTACATCCTTATGTTAATAAGATCTTTCCATCTATCTGTCAGTGACTTTTAATATAAAGATGAAATGAATTTTATCAAACCACTGGACTTAAAGTTGCATCATGTCCATTACAAATATCTATGCCTTCGATTTTTAGGCTACAAAGTTCATACAAAAAATTTAAGGTTAAGGCAAAATGTTAGCTGATAATTCGTCAGTTCAACAAGTTGGCACTTAATTTGATATAGGCTAAGATTGTCCTGCATTAAATGAGTAATGTGAAGTAATGCCATATCTACAAATCCAGCATAATAAATATAACTCACTGTGTAGTTTGTGAACATGCATACACTTATTCATTTAAATTATCATTCCCTTTATGTTATGATGGAGTGATACTGGATTCTGGATACGTCTAGCCTGATCGAAATGCGCCTCCAGAACACGACTTCATAACCAACTGACCACTAGAATTGATCTCTTACACTGAGATAAATAAGAATGGGGGAAACGACGACCGGAACAATAGCAACAACAAACACAACAACGTTTATTAGTCAAAATAGGTGGAATATTACGTTTCAACAACCTCAGAAATGTAAGCCATATACAAACGAACCAGAACTATCCGATAAGGTTATCATGTCAGTACATGCGTAAATCATAACTTCATGGCTAAGCAAAAAGCTTGTCTGTCCTAACACCGTATACGTCAAAAGGTACACAAGTAGGGTTTTAAAAAGCGTACAGAAATGAGAAAAGCATCAGATTTAGAAAAACTTACTTTGATGTTTCATTCACATGACGTTGTTTTAATCCATTGGCAAGTTTAGCTAGAGCATCAGCGTAATCCTGTTCAACACTAGCACGACGACGATAAAAATCTTGTAATTCAGCAACTACAGTACAATCAATATCTAATTTAAGATCCAAACATTTTAGTTGCTCTGTAAATTGATTGCGTAAATCTGAAAGTAAACAGAAAAGTATAAAGAAAACGTTTACTAAGAAGCATATGCTACATTCAAATAATCCCAAAACCAGTGAAATAAGAAACAAAACTACACACCACACACTACCACACCGTAACCCTCCTAAACATACATGTCCCCTGGAAAACAACAAACACAGTATCGTTAATCAAAATAACCCTTACGAAACTATCCAGGAATATGCCATTACCATTGCAGACATTTTCATAGAAAGGTAAAAATTATAAGTCCGTATGATAAAGTTGGAGTGCAGTGTCTCCTACCGTTATCCGAATCATACATATAGCAATGTAAAGACATGTCTCAGCTAAACAATAATGAAGAGCTGATGCATTATACGAGTTGTAATCTCCGAGTCGTAGACTAACACCGCAGTGATTATCACCAAAATACTTTGAAAATTTCTTGGGAGAATTTAAATCAGCGTTATTAATACATAATAATAACTATATATCTAAGTCAGTGCATTTTAGTCACAGTATTTCATACAGATTACTGTTTGCTCTATTCGTAACCCAATACTCAAAGAGTTGTCATTTATATTCACAAAGTATGGAAAGGACAATATGTACAGATATATATGTATGCTCAATTCAGTTTTTACCGTTATATTACATACTTACTTAAAACAAAATGATTTACATCCTCTCAACCAAAGTAATTTAATTCCTTAGACCGTTTAAATAGAAGAAATATATGATATTAAGTCTTATCCCTATGATAAAACTTAACAGGACTTTTGAATCACAGAGAACATTTGAAAGGAAAATATTATAAGCTAAAACGCCATAAGAGAAAACACCCTAGACAAAGTATGTTTCTTAACTTTTGGGGGCATCAACTAGCAAAAGTGGTGAATTGACAGGAGTTAAAGTTGATAGGTCATTAGATTCCATGAAGGTCCTTGATTCGACCTATGGTGGGGTCATGCGTGCGTACTTCTTGGTTTTCAATGGTTCTGTAACTGAAGTCAGTTCGCGATCACAAGTGGAAAGTGTCATATTCAATTTCTACCAGTAAACTATTAAAAGACATTCAACTGAAGGATTGTTCAAGCTTTCAAAAATGTTTTCAACGCTGAATGATCTCTACGATTATAAAGATAACTGTAACAATTGTCCATTTGATATATGACTGTTCTTTACACATGAATGATGGTGTTTTATCGAATAAAACTACTGAAGAACATTAGTTTTAACAACAACAAGGAATATTATAGACCAACTCTACACAAGCACTATAAGACTTATAGAAACCTAACACAACTAACATCAAAAGAACCTGCTATATGCCTGATATTTGCTTAGCTATTGTAAGATACAGCATACATAAAAATGGAGGATCTAAATACTGTCTGGATGGAACTTTCTACAAGACATGCTTAATATACGCTTTCTGCATAATCCAATATCAATATTCTCGTCAGTCAATGACAAGTAAATGTTTTACATGCCAGATGTAGATGAAAGGTAGACAGATGATCGGCAAAGCCTTCATGAGACTTGATAATCACCTGATTTCACAGACTTTATAGTAGAAGAGCCATTTGTAAGATAAATTACCAGTTATCTAGAATAGCTTCTTATTTTAGGTGTAATGTACGTCTTTATTTTGATTTTATTTGTTCATTTTGTTAAAAACTAAGAACAACACCGCAAAAAATGATAAGATATGAGTTCACGATATCTTGGTCATCTTGATCAACATTCAATTTAGGTTTTGAGAAAAGGTAAATTGAATGCATCCAACCAACAACCTCGTCTTATGACTGTATATTATTCAATTTAGCCACATTGAATTAATTTCAGCAAAGAGATCAACCATTATTTGATTAAATTCTAATCTGTTAAGTGTTTACTAAAATTTTGTTTACTTCGCTCGTGGTTCTAGCTGTTCTCAGTTAACCAAGGACAACATAATTTCAAAAAATTATGTGATTCAATGGCGGTTATTATAAACAAATATTTCTTTTCTTCATAATACACTACAACGGAATGACTATGCAACACTTCAACACTTCAGTCTACAGTAAAGCATAGTTTTAAAATCAAACCCCGTTCCTCTACTGTGTCTTGACAGTCTGGGTTAGGATTTGTGATGACTAGTTTATTTTGGCTTTTCAGCTTAAGCATTCTTTATGCAATACAATATAAATAGTTTTCATGTGGGGTTTTAGTTTCCGCAAGTAAGTCCTAGTTGGTTACTTTCGACAATCACACCAATTTACTCCTTTAGTCACCAATTCGACCAGACATGAGTAACCACAAAATAAAGAAATATAAAATATACGACTACCAGTAGAGTGATTGATCTTGGGTTTTCGCGCGGATTCTAAACCCTCACCGAGGTTTGGGCAGCCAGGTAGTATCACCAACCCTTACACAATAGGTGTGGTTTATCCTAAAGTGCATAGAATAGCAAGTGACTGTTGAGTAAAGTTTCATTTTCATCAATTCACATCACTACCAAAAGTACGAGAATAGCAATAGTGAAACTGCTATGAATTACAAAATAATTAACGGATTCAACTACACAGCTCTCAGATAAAGATTTTTGAATGCTCAGAAAAACACTTATAAAACAATAAATAAATGCAACATGACGACTTTCTGATAAAGTACCAAACTCACATTGAAGGAAGGCAAAAGAGGAAATACAAGATATATACAGGAAGAAGCTAGAAAAGCATACATCCACTGACTACTTGTTAATCCCACGTGCTTGTCCCCTTTGTCACGGTTACAATTGGTACTAAATTAGTACAAACTGTAACCGTGCTAAATTACACCGTCCACGTGATACAAGTGAGGAAGACAACTTTGTTATTTATTTTAATACAATAAACTGAGATTCATGACTAACTGATATTATTATACCGATGTTTTTTGTAATACTATTTTCATTTTTCTGTTGCTACGCATACTGGCTGTCCTTCAAAGTATTCAAATACTTCCCAGAAGACAGTTACCTGATTAACAAACTAAGAAATATTATTTTGGTAATCTCTATGTACTCATTAAAAACCGAATGGTTTCCTTACAGAATTTGACTTTACAATATATAACACGCAATAGATGAGGAAACCACGTCTTCTAAAATTGCCATTTAACATCTAACTGTGTGACGCAAACACAACCATATGCAGTGGTCAATTAAGGTGCTGCCGATATAACAGGGATAGGTGATTTACGTCACTTGTATCAAAACAATTTACCACTATAAACATTGCAAAATATTTACATATTTAACTCGAAGTATTGATACATAAAATGATGAAAGTCAAGTGTGCCTTAATAAATTTACTCATCACTTAATTACAAAATAACAACATACTTAAATCTTTTTTCTAATCGTCATCATACCAATACACAATTTCCAGACATAGTAAATCTTTAAGATTAAAGCAACACTTTACACGGTCTTACACGAAACCACTTTGAATGTGTAATAACAGTGTAACTTAAATAATACGTAAGTACTTCCTCGTCAATGTCAACCTGTAACTTCAACAGAAAGGGTAAAGTGTATTGCAAACAATGCCAACCTCCACCACTACCCATACAACATATAAAAGTTTTTAAATGAAATGATTTAATAAAATAACTGTGATAAAGCCGAAGAAATAATCAAACTCAACAGTGTATAACGTCATACAAACTCAATAGTCAGCTTTGCAAAAGAAGTCACACAGGTGCATATCTTTTGAAAACTTAAAATGTGCATGCATATATAATGATGAAAGATAAATAGAAATCTAATATGTACAATCAATCAAGTAAGAATTTGAAAAACTTACGCCAATCAATGCCCCCAATATATTTTGAAGATGAAATAGAGCGTCGTACATTGTTACTGCGCTTGAGAGACCCACTCAAGTGAGGACCGAGGCCGCATGAATAATCCATTACCATCAATGCATAACACGTGAATCGTTAACAGTTAGATCACGGATATGGAATGCGAGCATACAAAGTGCGAAGCATGACAAAGATTTAAAATGAGGTAAGCAACAATTCTGATTCTCCAATTTCACAGAAGACAAGAGCCAAAGGGAGATGATTGTGTTTTAGGATTTGTACCAAGCAGGAAAAGGGGAGCGAAGTAGGAGTTTGCAGGCTGTATGGTAAATTGAGATGCAGTTACGTGATTATAAGAAATCAGTCCAAGAGAAATTTTAAAAGCTAACAGACTAAAAATGGAATTCTAAAAAAACAACTCAACGTAGATAATTCTAATCAAATCGATGGAAACTACACAACCTACGACGTAAACCTGCGTAGTGTCTCTCCAACCGAAGAACTACCATTCAACGAGCACACACTTAAGACTAAAAATTATTGCTTGTTAATTTCCTCCAATTAGGATTACACCTTCAGTTTTATTTATTATTTACAAAATATTAAAAAATCTTACATAGATCAGTCACAAATGGGAAAACTTTTACAGAGAGAAAGAAGACAGTGGACCAACAAAACAATAGTGCACAAAGGAAATACCATCAGAATGTTTGGAGGTAATCGATTCAGTTTTCCAACAGAAAGAATCCCTGAATATTTTTACTTCATAAAATGTGAAACTGGCAGCCAACATGCGACGTTTATAAGTGCTATAAAGTACATGGTACTTCACTTTATGCAAGATTTGCTGATTACACTACTTTTTCGACAATATGATAAGCAGTCTAACCCATCGACCGTACTAATGTCTGTACACCAGGAGAAAAGCCATAACTGGTATGAGAGAATTAATGGTACTACCTATTCACTAGAAAGCCATGACTGATGAGAAAAGATGAAGTGATCCAATGAGCCAACAGCCTTTCTCTACGATGTATTTTAATCTTTGTAACACATAGTTTCATTTCAAATGCTATCACAATTTAGTACCAGTTGTTTTACCTAGGTAAAGGATAACATGCATATAATCTCATCCAAAAATAGAAAGAAAGGGAAGAGAACAGGAATGCGAAAAATGTCAGCTACATTATCACACTCCTCAATGGTGCAAGCACAAAATTAACAAAAACTAAGATATTAAAACCAACAAAAATACAAAGAATGAACAAAAAATGCACAACGATGGTCAGGATTTCCAAGAAGGTACAGTGAATAATGTGAATCTATATCATCACATATACCCGACCCCTGCACTTCCCTACATCGCAGAAATAAGCCTACGGTGACTACAAGAATTGGTACAATTTCCCTATATTGACACTGCAAAGATTTTTCTAACTTAATACTACTTCAGCTAACGTTGTGCGCTGAAAGATTAGTGATTGGTATTTGTAACACAGTCCAGAACCGAACGTATGAGATTGCTCACGCACTAGACAGTGCTGTTTGGTTAATGGTAGCAATGTCCACGCGTGAGAAAGTGCAGCTGTGGCTTATTGGGTTAGATATTTAATCGCCACTACCTGCAAGCGATCGATTAAGCGGCAAGTACAATACTATATTGAACAACAGCTGTGACTTTATAGCCAAGTACATGCAAATGCCTATACTTTTTCAGCAACACTACATTTCATACGAGTAACACTGAAAAGACACTCAAATATGCACTTGAAAAATTTACATGACTTCTCCCAGTGACTGCGTCAGAAAAAACGTGGACTGAATGAACTGCAGATTATTTTCCCTGTTTTACCAAGGCATGATCATGCTATTTCGAATAAATGGTGTATGCATTTCTCCAATGCTACTTCAACAGATGAATAATTAACTGCCAAAAGGGAATATTTTAGAATCAGATATAATCAGTTATCGCCAATGTAGAGTTTAACATAGCTACTCAAACACGCAAAAATGTTTACATGGTTTACTCAAGCAAGCACTACACACATGTTTAACTACATTTATAATACCTAAGCACACCAAGATAATTTTATGAAGGGAAAAGAATATCATCAAAAACTGTAAAAGTCTTCATGCTTTTCGGCTAGTATGTGTGATGCGGTATCTTTAAGTGAGGAATTCACAAAGCTTAGGAAGAACTCAATTTTAGTCAAAATTGACATCTAATATACTCTGCATTAAAATTATAGCAGTAGTGTATTAGGTGGTAAAAAGCTCATCTTACCACAAAAATAAAAACTTTATCTAAAAAGAAGCAGGGTATTTGTCTGAAACAAATAAAGCAAGTTTACAAGCGTAAATTTCAAAACTCAGAGGATGAGCGAAATTGAGCAGAAATACTAATCAATTTATCGGAACAACGAAGCTGAAAACTAAGGCACAAACCTATGCAAAATCATGATTAAAAACACACAGCAAACATCTCACAAATGAGAGGTTAGATTACGTAAAAAGAAATAAAAACCGGATAGCATGTTTGTTTCAATAAATGTAGATAATGAACACTGATAGCGCTCAACATTACAAGGGTACAAATGGCTGATGTTTGCAACAAACAAACAGAAATTCACTGATACCTACACCAAGCGACATTCCAGACAAATATGGACAAAAAATGATAAACCTGTGACATACTACTGACTCAGTTATTCATAATGATACAAAAATTAGTTAGAATATTGAAAAATTGCTCACAAAAGGTTGTCTATACTTTAGGGAACAGAATTCACTTTATGGCGAATAATAACACCCTGAATCGACGGACTTATTGTTTTTGACAAAACGCTGACTAACAATACGATGCGAACATAAGTGTCTTGTCATATAATAATAGGACTTACTAAGCCACATAGAAATACTGTGCCACAGTCACATATTTTATACTTTCATACATGAAAATCATCATTTCAGTGGGCAATTCGTGAATAGAGTCGACAATTTCAGTAGTAAGGATTTAGTGCTTTAAATAAGTGGAAAGCAATCCTTATAAGCATTCTTCCCTACATGACATGACTTCCATGAGTTACGAAAGATTAATTTCAAGAGCACACCAAGATACAGACTTTCGGATTTCCTGTGAACCCTGAATAAGCATCTACCGACTGTTATCACCTACAGTTATCACCACTGATCCCACTTCGACCTCAAGTCACGTAGAAACATTCTCACACTTAAGACGTTCAAGTTAATGATCCCAACGATTTCAAAAACACAGAAAACGAGAAATATTCTAGACATGACTTACTTTCCTCATAAAGCCATCAGTTAGAAGATACGTGCAAATGCAACTACTCAAGTATACTCTCCATCTACCTTAGTAGCACTGAATGTCAAGAGCTACTTAAACTTAAATTTTACATTGTATTTGTTTATGGATATACCGGCAAAGATTGGAGCAGTTTGCTTTATATATATACAATCCTAACCATTTAAGAAGGGAGCATCATGGATTCTATAGGTGGTTTGAAAAATCAATTGAAATTGTATATGGATATCAGGCTGGAAATTACGAATTATCCATGAGATTAGAAAAACAACAATATAAAATTATGATAGGTACATGACACAACATATAAACATTAGCTTCACGAATCCAACAGAAGCAAACTGCCATTTTAATACACAAAATCCGAGAAAATATCAAAAAGAACCAGACCATGTTAGTGGATTAAGTGGTATTACCTTTTACGGAAATAGAACACCTCATCCCAATAGAACTAATCGGCCTGACCTTGTCATTCAAAACACAAAGCTATCTAAGATCGTCCAGTTTCCAATATATGTTCGAGGTGACCTTGAAGATTGTTGGCTTTGTTGGAATTTGCTTTTCAGTATAAAGAAAAAGTTCAGAGTCTTTGGGAGTTTCCAGAATAGATTATCTTCTCAGTCACCTGCTGAAGCTAACGACTGACAATTAGTTTGTCACGTTGAATTACCACAGTCTTACTACCGAAGCTTTCCTGTCAGTAGAAGAATGGAAAACAAAGCAGCAGGTAGCATAATAAGTGAGAGAAATGGCATGCAGTAGATGAAAGCGTCCTAATTTTATGTGAGTCTTCATGGTATTCTAACACTATTTCCAACTCGTCATATGCAGAGATATTTTCTGACTACATAGTTATATATTCCTGATGACAATATAAAGACTTGGTTAGGAAGTACTCATGAAAATCATACCGGTATTTCCATGCGCTGCAGAAGTACAATACAGCGTTATCAGGATAACTTGTATAACACATCTTTTCAAAAGTTACTGATATTTTAAACAAACTTGAAAGTAAATGTGTGGAATCGCTTCTCTAAATGGATGGGACATGAATTTTATTTGATCTTTTAACTGGTTTGCAAGTAGTACTTTGGGTGCTTTATGCGAATTTGTAGTCTAACTTTGGATGTCTTAGAGATGCGATGAATTATCCTATGCATACCTGCATATCTTTGTGATTCAGCTCAGGATTCAATGCTATTAATTCTGCATAGTCTAAGTGGGCCGTTAAAGTATACTTTGTCCATTCAGTAAACACAGACTGATATACTGCTTAGGTTTTCATATGTTCACAAAACTAGTCTGTTTGGCAGGGACGGTATCATGAATATATGGTTAGAATTGTTGGAATGCATATAGCTAGTCATTCAAGTGTCCCAGTATTTGTTTCTTTTGAGTAGAATATGTTGTATTCATCCTGACTAAGAAAACTCTAGAATATAACAACTTGCCTACTACGTGTAGAGCAGTGCAACCCAGCACACGGCTGGGGTAGAATGAGTGAGAGCTGGGAGAATCAAAACTGGCATGGGTTCATTGGGACTCCTTAGTCATGTGGCTTGGTGAAAGCCGGTTGGGGTCCCTGAGAATCAAAATTTCGATGGCCTGAGATTTCGGTGATGTTTTTATTTTTTCATTTTTATTATAGCATGATTCCACAAAGTATTAGGATGCAAGCATAGAATTTTCAGTATGTGCTATCGATAGCCCTAATCCAGCAGGCCGACCACTGATATCAGGTGTACGTCAGCCAGCGATCGGACCCCGGACCATGTGCATGGTCAGCGAGCGTCCTAACCGCTGTGCCACCGATGGACATTCGAAAACATCTCATGGATGGCAATACATCCATGTAAAGGGGTGCAAAAATATCAAAAATTTAACCAAATACCACACAAAAAGGAATTTCTATTTAAGTTAGTATTTATGTACACGCATATAAACTATCTCTTCTAGGGCGACAAATTCAAATGATTGTTTCTGATGCCTTTGGCCACAAATAATCGCCTTCCAGGTTTTCATTGAGGAAATGTACTATTATTACATAGCATTAATATACCATCCCAATATTCATCATGTATTTTGATGGAATATCAAGTATATCATTACATAAGTGTGCGACACGGAAACCAATTTGGCGATGTAATATTAATATTATTTATGGTAACGAGTGAAACATAGGGCTTCATCAGCACATCTTCGCTTCTTCACATTCACTGCAGGCCCTCCTTACCTGCAAAATTTCATTTAGAAAGCATACGAAAAATATAACTTGCCATTAAACCACCACAGCAATGTACTAAAATAATAACTTTTATTATTAATATCATCAAATTATTATGATTGTTCCTTTGAGTTCCTAGTGGAACATAGGGCTTTATCAGCACATCTCCACTTCTTCTTATTTTCTGTTGTCCTCTCTGCCTGGGGCCACGATTACCCATAATTTATCATCTCGCCCTCGCACGAACTCCTTTATGTCACCTTCAGATGGCCCACTCGTTGTCTCCCATTTGGATTCCGCTCGAGAAATGGCCTGCACTGCTTGCGGTGTCACTCGATTGCCTCCTTTGTGTATGATCAGTCCATTTCCATTATCTTCACCATATTTGTTGAGCGATGGGCTCTTGGTTGGTTTGTTGCCAGCCAGACTTTCCTGTTGTTAATTCTTTCTGGCCGGCCGACCATTTGATCTTCAATATGCAGCTAGCGAAGGCGGCAGCTGTTGGTAAAAGACTTCAGTGGCCTGAAAGCGCAGAAGTCTGAGAATAACTCCGTTACCACTAAAAGCCTTCCTACTTCACCCGTTCCGCGTTATTTGTAGCGCTGTGCGTAGCATTGAATAATTGTAATGTCAGTTTTCTGATAGTTTATTTTATCTTCCCTGAACAGTGAACGATGAGACGATGACTGTCGAATTGATGACTCCCGCGTAAAAGTATGGAGGAGTTGGGTTTGAGCAAACAACCATGAATTGATCGTTCAAACTTCAGCTACATTGACAATCCCCGGCAAAAAAGGGATCCATCCTTTTTTGCATCACGACCAATACACGTTGACTTCGATGTCATTGCGAGAACCTGGGTCACACGGACAGAGCTGAAATGGAAAACAAGCAGAAAAGCCAACACACCACAGGCATACCCACAGCACAATCTCACATATCGCTGACGACCTGCGCCTCCAGACAGAGACCTCCTCTTGACATCTTGCAACACAATCGCCATTTGCTAGAATGACTCTTGCAGAATGCAAAGTGACCATGGCAGCACCTCACGATACTCTACGCACATCCTCTTATCTACTCATTACCAATTACCACTGCAATCTCTTGTCACTCATTCTGCCTCAGTTCTAGTAGCTGTGACGCATGCGAGCCTCAGTCGTTTACACTCTCGCTCCCAGGCGTGTGGGACCACAGCTAACAATTATCTCCGTATGCATTTCATTCTCAGCACTAGCCTAGCCTTCCCGGCGTATACGATCAATCTGCTGTGTCTAAAATGAGTCAATTCATTCACGGATGTGGAAGACTAGAAACAACTTCAGAAGTAATCACGACGAAAATTTCAACAAAATTATGCAATAACAACAAGGTACGAAAACAACGAGTAAACACAATGAATCCAAAAAACACCAATTGATATAACACACCACACATATATACAAACAGTACACACAAACTCGTGGTGGAATTCCTTTGAAAAACCGCAGGACTTACACCAGTACGCCTACAACCCTTCTCAGGTTGACGATTGTAAGTTTGGGAATGTCCGGACACAAACAAGATTAATCAACAGTTACATTTATTGGAACCCACTCGATTATTTAACACAAGCATGTGTACAATCAATACATCAAATGTTGTGGATTCTGCGATGATGCAGTACGGCTATATTCCTTCTCAGGTTGATGATCCAAGTGGAAGACGTTCGAACCCAAACAAAATTACCGACAGGTAGATGAAAGATGATACCATTTCAGTATATACAACATGAACATATGTACAAAACAACACACCAAGTACGATGGACTGCTCACCGATGTACTACACTTGAAGAATTGTAGGACTTACAGTGGTACTCCTACAACCCTTCTCAGGTTGACACCCTAGGTTGGAAAATCGTCGCAGAGTTCATTTGGTGACCTAATTCTATCAACTATATCCTCACCTTTGAACGGTGACACGCCCATGATATTGTATCGTGGAATGTAGATGTTAATCAGGTCTCATAAACCATTAAAGCCCAGCTCTTGCTACGCTCCGGCCCACGCTGTTCCTTGAAGATTTCAGAAACGCTTATGTCAATGGAGTTGAAGATTGAACGATCAATTCATGGTTGTTTGCTTAAAATCAACTTCCCCAATTTTCGCGGAGGCATCAATACGACAGTCATCGTCTCATCGGTCGCTGTTCAGAAAGAAGAGTGAAACATCGTCAGAAGTAATACAATGATTTATTATTGTAATATTTGTTTTCAGACCTTAGTTCACTTATTCTTTTTATATGTTGGTGTAACAATAAAGAAATATCAAGCGGCAGATCGGTGTTTTGGTTTTTTCGTCCGTTATAACTAAGCGTTTCTGAAATCTTCAAGGAACAGCGTGGGCCCGAGCGTAGCGAGAGCTGGGCATTAACGGTTTATGAGACGTGACTGACAGTTTCTGACGATGGAAACAGATCTGGCGGATTCAAACAGTTGGTGAAAGTTTGGATAGTCACCGTTCATCTTTCCTGGTGCCGGTCAAGTCCTCTTTGAACAAGCAATATCTGGAACTTTTTTGGAATTGGGTCAAGTTCAACAATGCCTGGGTCAAAGAAGGGACAGAGTGTCTTGGATGCAAACAGGAAAGTAAGTCATGGTGACTTGTCTGTTAATTGTAACGATGTGTCTGATGTTAAGCATGACATGGTTGATGTTACTGTTTCGCCGTTCAGGGATAATAGGAACATCAAACTCCCTAAATTTGAACCACGGTGTTTTGATGGAAACCCGGCTGATTATTTACAATTTGTAAAGGAGTTTGAGATCATGTTGAGTAGTTTTTATTAAGTGATGAATTGAAGTTAATGTATTTGATGAGATATTGCACTGGAGATGCTGCAAGAGCTATACAGTGTTGTAAGTTTATGAAGCCAAAAGAGGGCTACTACGAGGCTATGAGCATATTACGTCAAAGGTTTGGAAGACCTTCGATGATTGCAGGGAAATTATTCGAGGCTGTTAAGGGTAATGGTGGTCAATTACAGGATGACTCCCAGGCACTCACTGAGTTTTTAGATAATTTGCTAATTTACAAGAATGGAATGATTTCGATGAATCGCATGAGTGACCTCAACTCGAGTTTTATACTAGAAGTAATAGCAAGACGTCTACCTACTCGACTGCAAAGGAAGTGGGTGAAGATGAGCTCCCGTATGGAGGATGAGGGTATCGAGCCAAAGTTTGATGATATCCTGAAACTGGTAAATACTAGTGTCAATCAATCTATGAGCAAGTTCGCCAGTCTATTAGATCTCACCCCTAGAATAGAGCAGTCTGATGGAAAAACGCAATCATTGATGACGAATAGGCCTCAGAGAGGTGGATATCGAGAAGGCTCCATGATGTCTAGTAATGCATATAGACCTAGTGAGTGTAACAGGTTTCGTAGTACATCCTCAACAGATAAGTTACAAGATGCAAGACAAACACGGTTGTGTTTCACACGTTTGCAAGAGGTGCATACAAAAGTGAACTGTGAACCAGTGAGCAAGTTCAGTGATAAGCTAAATGTAAACTCCAGGTCTGACTCCGAATTGTGTGACGATAACGGTTTGGTCAGGAAGTCTGTAGTTGCAACTGGTAAGCCATTGTTGAATAGAGTGTCACAGAATAGAGTTACTGCTTCAGAGTGCAGTTCTGACTTCACAAGTTTACAAAGTATAACTAGTCAGAGTGAAGATATAAAACCTTTAATGATTTCCGAGGAGGAACCAAAATTGTCTACTTCTGTTATTAAAGAGTTTGAAAATGATGAAGTTGACGGTAAAGTGAATATTCGTGATAATGATCATGATACTTCACAGTTGTCTTTGGTTGATCATGATGAGATGAGGGATATGCCTACTACTGCTAAGTTAAATAAAGGTTCTGTACAACTACAACGTGAAGTAGAATTGAACGCAGATGCAGTTCCAGAAGGTGTGCATACTTGTGAGACAGTCAGTGTAATTGATCAGCGTGTAGCCCACCTATCATCAGATGATAGTGCTAAACCCGAACTAGTAGTGAAAGACAGCAGTGGTGGTAATCTTGCAGTTGGACAACTATCTGAAAGCCGAAAAAGAACAGCTTCTGATCCACCGCTAAGTTCATCACCTTGTGTCACTCAGTCATCGTTGGTGCTGTCATCCACAATGAAACAGACACCCATCAACTCAAGTATCTTGTGCAATGACTATGGTAGTATCAGTTCGTTTGAAAGGACGAATATCAATGGTCAGTTTAGTGTGGATAAGCCAAGTGTAAAGGAGAGAGTAATTGTTAAATTGACTTGCATGAATAAAGGCATTTCTAGTTTCAAGTTACTGATTGAATGCTATTATCTTTGGTGTAAATTACTCTGTTTCTACACTTGGTTGATGAGATATGCCGTGTGTTTGTTCGTCATCTATATTCTACGATACAATGACATGAGCGTGTTGCCGTTCAGATTTGAGGATATAGCTGATAGAAGGAAGTCAGCAAATGAACTCTGCGACGATTTTCCAACCTAGAGCGTCAACCTGAGAAGGGTTGTAGGCGTACTGCTGTAAGTCCTACAGTTCTTCAAAGGGTAGCGCATCAATGAGCAGTCCAATGTGCTTGGTGTGTGATTTTGTACATATGTTCATATTGTATATACTGAATTGATATCATCTGTCATCTAGCTGTTGGTAATTCTGTTTGTGTCCGGACGACTTCCACTTGGATCATCAACCTGAGAAGGAATGTAGGCGTACTGCTGTAAGTCCTACAGTTCTTCAAGGGTAGTTTGCCGTGCCAGAATACTTAACATTTGATGTGTTGATTGTATATATGTTTGTGTTAAATAAACCGTTAATGCCCAGCTCTCGCTACGCTCGGGCCCACGCTGTTCCTTGAAGATTTCAGAAACGCTTAGTTATAACGGACGAAAAAACCAAAACACCGATCTGCCGCTTGATATTTCTTTATTGTTACACCAACATATAAAAAGAATAAGTGAACTAAGGTCTGAAAACAAATATTACAATAATAAATCATTGTATTACTTCTGACGATGTTTCACTCTTCTTTCTGAACAGCGACCGATGAGACGATGACTGTCGTATTGATGCCTCCGCGAAAATTGGGGAAGTTGATTTTAAGCAAACAACCATGAATTGATCGTTCAATCTTCAACTCCATTGACAGTAGATGACTAACAAACACACGAGGTGCCTGACCGACCAAGCGAAGACACAGAAAAATTTACACCAAAGATAATATCATTGAAATGGTAACTTGGAACTTGAAAATCCTTTTTTCGAGCAAGTCAATTTAACAGTTACCCTCTCGTACACAGTTGGCTTACGCTCACTAACCTCACCATTGACTTTTGTCCTTTCAAACGGACTGATACTAGCATAGTCATAGCATGACACACGACTTCATGGACGCCCCTTTCACTGTGGATGACAACACCAACGACAACTGAGTGACACAAGTTGGTGGAATTAGTGGTGCATCAGAAGCTGTTACTGTTCGGCTTTTAGAAGTTTATCCAACTACTAGATTACCACCACTTCTGTCCTATATTATTAACTCTGGTTTAGCACTGGTATCTGATGATAGGTGGGATACACGATGATCATTTACACTGACGGTAACACAAGTATACATACCTTCTGCAACTGCATCTGCATTTAATTCTACTTCACGTTCAAGTTGTATAGAACCTTTGTTCAACTCGGTAGCAGTAGGCATTCTCCTCATCTCATCATGATCAGCCAAAGACAAGTGTGCACTTTCATGACCACTGTCACAGATACCCACTTTACCTACATTTGTATGACCAAGATCATTTGCGAACTCTTTAACAAAAGCAGTAGACAATTTGTTTTCTTCCTCACAAATACTTAAAGGTTTTATACCTTCACTCTGACTAGTAATACCTTGTAAACTTGTTGAGTCAGAACTGTCTTCTAAAACTGTAACTCTCTTATTCTGCACAAACTGCAGTGTCGTCTGTGACACTCCATTCAAAAATGGCTTACAAGTTGCAACTACAGGCTTCTCCAATGCACCATCATTTTCACATAATTCGGAGTCGGAACTTGGTGACTCTGATTTCACATTTAGCTTACTACTAAACTTGCTCACTTCTTCACAGCTCACCTGTGTATCCACTACTTGCAAACGTGTAAAACACAACCGTGTTTGTCTCGCGACTTGTAAACTATCTGTTGGGGATGTCCCACGAAAGCCGTTACACTCACTAAGTTTATATGGATTACTAGACACCATAAGGCTTCCTCTATATCCGCTTCTATGAGACCTTTAATCATAAATGGTTGCGTCTTGCTCTCAGACTGCTTGATTCTAGGGGTGCGATGCAATATACTGGCAAATTTGCTCATAGATTGATTCACACTATCTCTAACCAGTCTCAGAATATCATCGAAATTTGGCTGAATACCTTCATTCTCCATACGAGAGCTTACCTTCACCCACTTCCTTTGCAGTCGAGTAGGTAGGCGTTTCGCTATTACTTCTGGGACGGAACTCGAGTTGAGGTCACTCATGTTTATGACCTTTTCGTAAGTACACTGAATTTAACCTTTATAGCTTTGACCTTCAGTTGCTTGTTGTGGAACTTGTGGTGCATCTCTAGCTTCATTTAAAGTCTCCGGGTTGATTATAAAAGTTCCTTACGTTAGACTGTGGTTTGAGGCTTTATCTTGTCTTTACGATCATGTATCCATTAGACTGCACATCCGCTTTCTTGAGATCAAAGTTCATTCGATATTTGGTGTGTCTTTCCGGAGGAGAATATCGTTGTATGTGGTGCTCCCAGTCATCAAACTATTAAGGACACAGACGTCGGAATTTCGAAATATCAATAGTTCATGCTTCATGAAAGTTCTGTTATTTTTTACGGAGATGACTATGCGATAAAAATATGGCATGTCGCATAATTTAGTTACGGTGTTAATGTAAAGTGGATAATCCCATGTTCACTATTTATATGCCATGTATTTCTTTCCGTAGTATGAAGGAAGATTACAAGACGAGTTGGCCAGCCTGTCCGAGACATCAATACTTCAGAAGTATATTTGAGAGTAAAAGAGTGTTATATTCTTCATTCATTAGTCAGAGTTCAGTTAGGAGCAGTCCGACTAAGCCAATATAAACTAGGCTGAGATAGCCAAATGCGAGGCTGACGCACAGGTTCGGTAGGATAGCTTACCACTTAGAAATCAGGAATGTTGGTCCAAACCATAGCAAACAAACAGACCACTTCATGGTCGCTGAGGCAACGTGGTCGACTGACATCCTGGATCTTCTCTCCTCGCTTAGCGGTTGCATGTGCCTACACTTTGAAGTTTTAAGGTAATGTATATATATAATAAAGTCGGGGCCATACAAGGGGTATGAGAAACCATGGTGTACTGATGAATATATCGCTACATTTGTTTATGATGAAAGCCAAGACATTTTCGTGACCTAGGTCCCCTGTTTGGTTAGGTCTTCCTTCAAATTAGTCGAGTCTTCTTTGTTTTTCACGGTTTTAGGTAAATTATATCATGCGCGTAAAAAAGTGATGCAAAGTTTAAGTTAGGGAGGGTGTTTGTAACGATTATACGTGACAGCAGACCTTGAAACTAAGGATGTATTTCAACAGGCATTTGAGCCCCTTAAAAAGGTTGTTGGAAATTTAATTTAAACCTTAAATCACTCAAAGATCATCTCAAAGTTATAGGGTCAGTAGTATTTTAGCAAATCAGATATTCGGTTAATTCGAAGCAGCGGTTTATTCGGATTTTCCTCCACTGTTTAATATTCACATTTGGTAAGTGTATTACACGTTTATAGTCAGCTAGTCGTGATCGAACATCTATCTTTCATGTTTTCTGCCATATTAGGGATGAACTTAGCTGTCATATCTGCTCTTTGGCTGTGTTCATACAATAATATAGGGTACCCAGTCAGATATAACGTTATAACGCACCTGAGCAGTATGGGTAAAACGTGGGCTAAATGGGTGATTTTGATAAGTAATTGGGTGGGCAAAAGATGGTGGAAACGCTTCACAATTTACAAACATAACCCTATATTAGCCAATTATGAGGGTAGTTCCGGGCTTTTAGGAATTGGTTTGCATGTCTCCAAAAATTTACCCTGGGTTCTTTATTACTCCGATGTCAAAGTGCTTTGAAATTCCCCATTGTTTTTCTGAATACGGACGCGACTGTATGAATGAAGTAATAGGTAAATCGTTTTCTTGCTGAAGAAACACTGAAATAACACTACATTTCACAGTTTTATCATTTGGTTCTTTTTTGCAGTGTCGAATGGTCCTTTTTCTTCCTCATTGTTTGCTCACTAACTGGTGTTGTGACCTGAATTATTTTACCGTATTTTAACACTGTGGTCTTCCTACAAATTGCATTGTTGCATCCAAACCTCTGCACTGCCTCTTATGTGCGACTTGATGCGTTTTATTTGTTAAACTGAACGTTTTCATGATTCAAACTTTAACAAGCACCGTTTCACTGTAAATCACCTCAGTGATTTCAAAAATTGTTTGGAAATTAGAGTTTTTTTGAATGATAAGTTTAAGCTACTGTCTCCTTCAAGTAGACTGCATAAGAACGATTCTGTAAGGCAAGTAAAAGAAAAAAAATTGTGTAAAACGTATAAACTCAGGGTATATTTGACATATATATCCCTAAAATTTGGTACATATAATTCCTGTTGTTTTATGGATATGTTGGAATTAACTGCACATTAAAATGAGATATAATGGAACAGTTTTTATTTAGACTTATTATCTGTAGTAGGTATTTTAAGTGCGGGGCTAAAACCTACAATTATTGTGTGAAGGCTACGAATACTACCCGTTCGCTCTGGCCGCAGTGGATTAAGTGGTTTTCAAGCTTGTGATCCGCTGGCTGCAAACTGGGCACTTCAGCCGACGAGTCGCATTACTAGATTTCTTTAAACGTCTTCAGAATCCATGTTTGAGTTTGTAGAAGTGGGATTTAGTTGAGATGTCCTCTAGGTCACCTATTAAGGTGGTAGAAAATTGTCTTTAAAAATTCAGGCTATAAAATGACTATATGCCCAATTGATATATTAATTTTCACACTTTATTAATTTGCATAAATCATGGGTCATAATCCCAGACTTATTAAGTCTCCCGAAAGGTGAACTTCATATTCAGTTCAGGTTTAAAAACTGCACATTTTCTTCATTAATGACCTGGGGTCAACTCGAGGTCCCCACGGTTATGTCGATCATCTGTGCAAATGAATCTGTAAGTTATGAAACATATTCCACTGAATTTTCCTTTCTTAAAAGTGCTTTAATCATCTTCATGAGCTTATGATCATGTTTGAGTGTGACCTTATACAAGCCCCTCTTGAATGTTAGCCGCAAAGTGGAGAGGCATTCTGCCATTGTCATTGTCAATATCTGCAAATTAATGGTTACAGATTAGAGTAATTGCCTATAAGTCTATTTGTGGAAACATCAAACTTAGCTTTCAGAGGAAGCCTTAAAACAGTATACAATTTAAGAGATCTTGCTGATTGGAAATGGTTGGAAAATTTGTGCCACTGGGCGAATACGTGATTTCGAGGAACACATGTGATGACTGTATTTTGGCGTTAGGTAGATCGAGTCCTCTAAAACTATCAATGATTGGTTTTACGTCTGATTGAAACCAACTCTGTTGGTAGCAGCTTCGATGCCAGTCGAGTTTTGCCGTGTCTGAAAGTTGTTTAAGCACTCGGTTCACAGTCTATGGGTCATGGGTTTAATTCCTACTCCACCTTCTTCAACAGGGACAGCTGGGTAGTACTATCAGTCCTCACGTGATATGTGTGGCTCACCCTGGTGCATGAAGGCTGTTTCGGGTAATTGAGCCTAAATATAATTAAGCTCTCACTTTTCACCTTCCAGTTATCAATGTTGTATCACTGTTACATCAAATAAATTTATTTGATCTCTGACAATACCTAAAATATAGTCACTACTTGAGGACAGAGATTAATAATAGGCTTTGAGAACCTCTTTAGACCTAGGGGGTAATTCGTCGGTTGAAAACGGTGTCCAAGTTGATGAATCACCTGTGGGCTGAAAAGTACTTTTGCTTCATGACATGTATCCTCATCATACATTTTTGTGACGCATATCAGAGTTTCGAATTGGCAGCTTAAACCATCTCAATGTCTGTTGAATGTTAAACTGCTTGATGACAACTTAAACGGCTGCATTTCTCCATTATGGATAAGATTTTATTTTGATAAATTACAGTGTTGTACAGTAATATTAACTGATGACGTTTCGAGCACAAACTATTGCTCATAATCATATCATGTTGATATGATCATATAATCATATCAACTTGATATGATTATGAGCAATAGTTTGTGCTCGAAACGTCATCAGTTAATATTACTGTACAACACTGTAATTTATCAAAATAAAATCTTAGACGTAATGTAGTTACGCTCTACCAAAGTGCTGCATTTCTGTGTAGTGTTCTATGTTTAAACTCAACCGATGATGTGCAGCGAAAGACCTCATCGCATATTTTTAACCATTGTTTCTGAAATAACGTTGTCATGTACCACCAAGACGAATAAACCGTATTACTATAACTGTTGTTAATTTTCTGTAATATGATAGTCCACTGTGTTTCATTTAAATGACAGTGGTTTTTAACTATAATACAATATAGCTTTGCTTTTTTCGGTTATTGTATAACTGGCTTTATAGTGTAGTTTTTATGCAAATGAATGTATGTTTCCGATTGGTTTTTTTAGGTATGTCAGCTGAGTTCTGTGCATTTATGTACAGGGGAGGCGTGTCAACTAATGTCGGGAATGAGACAGTTTTAGGTAGTCCTGTCCCAGTTGCACATTCAACTGCTGGTGGCAATAAAAATTCAGCTCACAACAGAAATGGTCGGGCCTACTTCGATGAAATCCTACCAACTTCACCAGCTCTCCTAAAACAGACTTACGTTATTGAAGGCGGTAAAAACCATCAAAATCGTAATATTCAAGATGAAGGCGATAAGGAAGCTAGCATTTTAAACATTGATACAATAAAGGGTAGGTGTTTGACGTTTATTTTCGAATGTTTTTAGGTCTTTCAGATAGTGTTTTAGATCGCAGCTTGCAGGTTCGTAAAGATGAAGTGATTGCAAAAAAGTTAAGTAAGTCTAGTTTAAAGTATTCTGCGTGTCTGCTTCGTCATTTCTATTTCAAGGATTCACATTTACTCCATTAATTTTTTGTCAGGTGAAAAGAACCAAATGAAGCAACTGGATACCTTTAATGTTAAACACTGTCAGTCTCCTTCTACGGATATTGAAACAGAGCAACAGAAAATTCAGTTCGATGACGAAGAACTAAAAAAGTTAGAAGAGGCCTTTAGCGATTTCGATTGTGACACATCAGAAACAACTATCCCAACTCGCGCGTGTGAAACATTTGCCCGTCGAGTATCATGCAAACCATCAGCGACGGGGGAAGAGTGTTCAGAAGGTAATACAACATCAGTTCCTTCCTTACAGTCAGCCGAGGGCAGTGGTGAAGCAGATAGTAATATTGTTGATGTTGAAGCACAAGATGCTACACAATCACATGTTGTTTGCGCGGTAAGCGAGTAAAGCATGTTAATTTTACTTGATACTTCTGTTCCTAAGTGTTTTTGACTATGAATTAATATGTACTAAGTAATTTATTGCTTTTTCTACACTTGTAGCACATAAGATTATTTACTTGGTCTTTATTTAGGTGGGTCACGGGTTAGAATCCGGCTTCATCGACTAAGATTTTAGCAGCCTGTTAGTATCAACTGTTGTATAATGCATATAGCTTATTACCAAGCGCTTTGACATACTTTTATTTCATTAATATTTTCCGAACATTTTTAATTCAAAAACGTGCTGCTAGTTTCTAATAATAAAGACATTTCACAAGGTTATGAGGGAGCTGATCGGTTTCTCATGTGCCTTGTTTGTTGGTTTAGTTTGGTAAATTAATTGTATAGAATGAAGGTAACTTTCCTTAAAGGTGAAATTTCAACGCTTGTAGTTTATAATTAGTATTCAGTTGATTTAGAATACATATACTGCCGTTTTGGAATATTCCCTTTCTTGTTGAATTCATTTTCATTGTTTGATATGAAAACTAGCTACTTAGACTAGTAGTTTCAAAATCCCCTCTGTATGTTCTCTGTATTTTATTCGCATTGTATGCGTCACTTTGCTAACGTATGTTTTGGGTTATACCATGAAAATGCATCCATCACTAAAGCTTAAATTTCATCTCTTATCGTTCGTTTGTCTGTTCCTTTTTTATTTTACATTCACAGGCTACTGCACTTTTTACTCAAGTTTCAGAAGGTCATTCAGACAATACTATTGACAAGCAGTTAAGCTCACAGACTAAGGGAGTTGATCAGTCACTTATAAGATCTCGAGTCAAACTATATTCACAGCTACCATGTCTTACTGGCTTATCATCTGCTTATGAGAGTAATTCATTCGACAACAAGGTAGGCTGTTTAAGTATTTTTCCTACTTTTGATACTTCAATTTAACTTCCTGATTGACGAAAACAAAAATAATTTCGGAAGACAAGGTTATTTGGGAAAAATGGTAATATGGGTATACTTCATAAAACTAGGAAGTGACTATAGTAAAAACAAAAAGGTGGACTTGAAGTAAATTTTTAAGAATTAATACTGTTTTTCGAAACTTTTCAAAACGAGCGTATTATTAAGGACTGGCAAATAGCTTACTAACTTGACAGAGAGGCAAATAAGGAATATATATATATATATATATATATATATATATATATATATATATATATATATATGATCAGTTTACTAAACAGCAAGGTCAATAGCATTAGAGTTTATATGTGTGCGATTTTTCCGCCTAAAAAGGAGTTATTTTTCGTGTAGTGCATTTTCTGCTTCATTTTCTTCTGAGTACACTTAAACTCAGGTTTGCCGATCGACTGATTACCTTCCACGTAAATTGTAGTGGTGTGTCGGTGGCACATCGGTTAGGACGCTCGCCGACCATGCACATGGTTCGAGGTTCGATCCCCGGCCACCGACACACTCATATACCTCGCTAAGCCAGAAATAATGCTGGTAGAGAGGAAAGGTTGGACATGGGGCTAGCAAAATCCCATCCTGTAAAAATAAACAGTTACAGAAACTTCAAGCCACTAGCTTGAAGCCCTGTGTTCCACTGGGAACGTGAAGGAAAATAAAGTTGTAGGGACTTCGGTGTTTATTTAAGAAATAAAATTCATATGCCAAGTAAGATGTTTCACTTGTTTGAATCCACTTAGGCGAATAGTTTGTTATTGGGATTATTTACAATCCGCATAGTGTATTGATAATTAATTTAAGGTTTAATTGAATTTTAGATTCTCCCGTCAGTTGATTGGACCGAAGTGCTTGGTCTCAGGTTGACATGTCGGCTTCTTGTGCAGATGCTTCGATGATGTCTGGGTATGTAATTAGAATTTAATTGATGGATGATGACTAGCAGTGGAATCCAGGATAACGCGCATTTCGTCCTATTTGTGACTCTTTAGTTGAATGCCTCATTGGGAAACATCATCATTCACTGGGGAATGCAGGTACATCCAGACGGCGAGTTTCAAATAGGATGATATACGCCTCATCCTGGATTCCACTGCTAATCACCATCCAACAATTAAATTCTAATTTAAGGCCCATGAAAGCGCTGTTAACGCATTTTGACTGATTTGAATGTGCTCTAAGAGTCGATTAATTACTACAATATGTAGGATTTGTTTGATCATTAGAAAATAGGTGCTTATCTTCGTGGTGTTATAATTATATATTATGTCGTTGTAATTGACTACTATTATCAATGAAAACTTTACGACATTAAAACTTATCTCCTTAGAATTCATTCACAGTGTATTTCCAATAAATACTTACTGGTATCCGATTATTTTATACAATGAATAAAGTTATCTCTGAAAAGAAGACTTTGTAGTATGCTAGGTGATTCTCAGACTGTTTATAAATTCTTCATTAGATTTCGGCATTTTTCATAGCCAATAATTTCTTGAATTGTGTAACCATAATTCCATAAGGATTTTCGTTGGAAAGAGATAATTTCTATGTATATACTATCTGTGCCTTCATCTAATGAAAATTGATGCACTCAAGTTAGCCGATTAGAGTCATTTAACTTTCAGTATTCGATTATCTAGTGATCTGAGTTTGTCTGGACATACATAATGAACCTCAGCTTCAATCAGCGTGTTATGTATTGCTGCTGAGTGGTTAATAGTAAGTTTTCCCCGTCGCCAACTATGTTATGTACCCGTCGAGTAGTTAGTAGTCCTGACACGGAAATAGGGAAATCAGAAGACCACCAGGTTACGATGATACTTGTATTTTCCAGACAAGGAAAATAAATGTCACACAAGAGTGTGAGTAAAATGGTACGTAGAGTACGAAAATGTGTGTGTACAAGAATGAACAAGAATGGTAAAGCAAGAGTATATGTGAAAGTGGCTAATACACATGAACCAATAAATAGCCAATCTTAACATGATTGGTTGTAATGTCATGTGACAACAAGGTCATACATGTCTATTTAATTAGTGGACAGACAAAAGCATATTGTCAGTTATAATGGAATATCGATCCATATACACATAGCAAAATATAACAGACTGTCAAAAACAAAACACACATTATGTGGATACATATCACAGCGACACATCTGCCCAGCATTTCGAAGTTTTCCCTTTAGCTAATAAAATCTATGAGTCATTAAAAAAAATTAACCAGTAGTACTATAATCTATTGTGATGTTTATTCACTTTTTAAATGTTCTTTATATCTTTTTAAAAATTTTAGTCAGATAATTGTGTACCACCTGAATTGCCTAAACCAACTACAAGTTTGAATGCAAATAATTCTGCATCGCAATCACTAGTACATGATGTAAATAGACAATTCCTAAGCCATACAAACAGTCATCTTGCTAAGTCAGTGGATGTAAATAATATTTCTGAAGCTCCAGTCGAGCAGATTTCAAAACACAACTTATCTGAAAATGCTTCACATGATGCCCAGAAAGTTGATAATACTCTGGAAGCTGACAATACAATATTAGGAAATCTGGATATGTCAAAAATCGATATTAGCTGTTTACACATGTCTGATATTGATGGCTTACTGGATATGATAACTGCTATAGGTAAGCAGTCGAAAACTTGTGAACCAGCAGCAACTCAGTGCAATAAAGTATCTTCACAGTTAATTAAACAAGTGGCTGCTGTCAGACAAGGACTAAAACCTGCTGTTAGTAATACAATTGGTTCTAATAATAACATTGTTTACAGTTCAGATGGGAAACAACCAAATTTTCCTTTATCCAAGGTAAGCTGTACATAGATAATATACTTTTTACATAGGGTTTCTTATAGTTTTTTTAAATGGTTGCGTGGCAGAATGTTGACTCTTGCTACTCGCGAGGCTGTTTGTTACATGTGCTCTAAAGTTTTACTGATGTTTAGCAGACTTAAGGTAAAATACCCTCCAAATTGAAGTAATTTAAGTTTAACAGTATGAGGACTGTCATACAAAACCACATACATATCTGAAATTCACACATAGCTGCGTGTATCTAATTGATAGGGCGAAGTAGTTATTTGAATTGGATAGCAGATTCTCTGTGGTTTTCTTCCTATTCCGTTAGACTTTTCTATATGGTTTTGATTTCGTAATGAATTTTGTGTTGATCCTAAGAGATTGGTTTTACATATGTGCTCTCAGTAGCTGGAAAACACCGGAAAACCTCGGTCTTATGATGATCAGTACTCATCACTAAGATATGATATAACAAAGCGGCAATTTGGCCTTGCAGATAAGGATTCGTATTATTTAATGCTAAAGCCAGGAACTCTACTGTCATGTTTTGCAGGCTGTAACTAAGTTATAGCTCTGTTTGACATTGTTCCTAAGCATCGTTCGATATTGATCTGCAGGAATAGAAGTGAATTGAAATACTCACATTTCAATTCATGAATAATCCCCATTCAGACAATTATGACAATAGAAGACGTACTTCAGCTAAGAGGCTGTTTTCAGCGAATTGATTCACTTAGCCGTACAGTCGCAATTATTGTTGTATATGCGTGTACATTAGGTTTGCCAGACAAGCATACAATTTAGTTAGGGTTGTTGTTTATGTCATCAAAATATTTTGAAAACTGTGATGAATAACTAAACTGTAATTAAAAGGGGGGGTGCGTCGGTGGCATAGCGGTTAGGGCGCTTGCCGACCATGCACATGGTCCGGGGTTCGATCCCCGGCCACCGATGCACTCCTTTACCTCGCTAAGCCAGAAATAATGCTGGTAGAGAGGAAAGGTTGGACATGGGGCTAGCAAAATCCCATCCTGTAAAAATAAACAGTTACAGAAACTTCAAACCACTAGCTTGGAGCCCTATGTTCCACCGCGAACGTGAAGGAAAATAAAATTAGAGGGGGGGGGGGCGTAAAGATTGTTAAGGGGTAGTGGTGATGGTTGCCAAGAAATAGTTGTTAATGGTAGCCACTGCATAGGAGAAGTTGAATAAGTGTATTGTAGTTACGCAATAAGGTGAATGAGTTAATGAGTTGGTTTTGATTAGGATGTAAATAGAAACGAAGGAAAATACGGAATTGTATAAGAGTTGTAAAGGCATACAAGAGTTATAAGGAGTCAGAAAAGCAGGCACACAAAATTCAAGTCAGTGGGAATCAAAATGCTCATACTTTTTCATGCATGCATATTTTTTGTTGCGAAATACTGTATTTATTCATTGTCTGATATTTATATTCAGGTCGAGGGGGGAAAAGAGAATGTACCACCTGCTAATGATATGATTTGTTCTGAGAAAGAAAATCTAAGCGTCAACAGGAAACATTCTCAACATTCGAATCCTCTTCATTCAAATGAATCTACTAATTCACCTACTAGATATCTACCAAAAGCTGGACATGAAAATTTATCGATTAATAAAGTGTCTATAACGCCTCAGAAGGATGCTGTTTCTTCAGAAATGTCTAAAGCTCAAAAAGTTCCTATTCTTTCAAATACTGACTGTTTAATATGGGCTGGAGCTGTTTGTGGACAAATGCAGTAAGTAGATATTCAGTTGAACTAATTACTGTAATTTAACCCACTACATTGCGCAGATACAAGTGTCAAGCGATGTCTTCCATAAAAGTACACCAAATGTAACGCAGTTCAAGAATATAATGGCAGCTATAATATGTACACGGCAGAAAAAAATTTTTAATGCAAAATTTCATTTAGAAAGCATACGAAAAATATAACTTGCCATTAAACCACCACAGCAATATACTAAAATAATAACTTTTATTATTAATATCATCAAATTATTATGATTGTTCCTTTGAGTTCCTAGTGGAACATAGGGCTTTATCAGCACATCTCCACTTCTTCTTATTTTCTGTTGTCCTCTCTGCCTGGGGCCACGATTACCCATAATCTATCATCTCGTCCTCGCACGAACTCCTTTATGTCACCTTCAGATGGCCCACTCGTTGTCTCCCATTTGGATTCCGCTCGAGAAATGGCCTGCACTGCTTGCGGTGTCACTCGATTGCCTCCTTTGTGTATGATCAGTCCATTTCCATTATCTTCGCCATATTTGTTGAGCGATGGGCTCTTGGTTGGTTTGTTGCCAGCCAGACTTTCCTGTTGTTAATTCTTTCTGGCCGGCCGACCATTTGATCTTCAATATGCAACTAGCGAAGGCGGCAGCTGTTGGTAAAAGTCTTCAGTGGCCTGTTGGAAATGCTTTTGGTGACGCGCACACCGACTTTCTGACCCAAATTGAAGCGATAACTGACTGAACACTTGTGTTAAGAATCTAAATCTTGTTCTTTATGATTCTGAGTGGAGTGCAGAAGATCTCCAAACTGATTTCAGGTTGATGAAGGCGTGTCTTGTTCTTTAGATTCTAGCTGCTGTTGACATCTTCATCCGTGCCGTCTGTCTGTGTTTGAAACAATGCTTCTTAGATAAGTGAAGGAAGTAACCTTATGTATATTTCTTCCGTTGATAGTGATTATTGCTGTTTGTTATTGCTGTTGGTTGGTTGTCTGCATCACCTTCGTCTTCTCTATGTTCTCCTGGAGTCCTGTCTTTGCTGTCTGTCTCGTCTCAACAGCCAGTTTGTTGGTTTTCGCCTCCAAGTCTTCGAGTTTGTCTAACATTAAACATAAATCAATGGTGGACGAAATCTAGGTCTTCTAGAGCCTCCTTATCGATCGACAGTATTCCTATCTGCTCAATCTCCATATTTTTACGTATTATCTAGTCCACTACAATTAAGAGTATCATCGGTGATAACAGGTAGCCTTGTCTTACTCCTGCATTCGCTTCACTTCACGTGCTACAAAGCTATATTTAGCGAGAGTTTGCAATAAAGCCACTCCGTCGTTAGTCTTTGTCATTACTTATCATAGTGCTTCCTAATTACATTCAAATTTATTCCTTTGTGTAGAAAAAGTAAGAAAGTAGCGTGCGTCGGTGGCACAGTGGTTAGGACTCTCGCCGACCATGCATATGGTCCGGGGTTCGAGCCCACGCTGGCGCATACCTGATATCTATGGTCGGCCTGCAAAATTTGGGCTACCGATATCCATGCTGAAAATTCCATACTTGTACCAAAAATACAGTGTGGAATCAAGCTGTAAATCAAAAAAATTTAAAAAAAAAATTTAAAAATTTATATGTGTGTTAAGTCGATCTTTTGATTCTTATGAGATAATCTTTTCTAAGAAGTTGAACGATGATATCTTCAGATTTACTCAGTAACTTTGTTACTAGTTGGTTCAGTTTTCAGGAGGACTGTTTCTCAATCAGACAAAATATCTGAATGCTTCACAGTAAGCAAGCAATGGATAAAATGGCTTTTAACTTGACTTCGTCTATAGATGTAAGACTACTTACAGAGTGGAGGTCGGACAGTGGCAAAAATAGTCTATTAGAGTGATTGCCACTGAAAAGCGCTGTATGCATTTATTCACGATATTTACGGTACAAGCAATATAGATAGGTGCCTACTAAGTTTTATCATGCAATCCACTGTCTTTCCACATTGTTCAGGCATCTGATATCAAGCATACGTGTGCACAAATAATTTTTCTACCACCGCTATCGTGGAGAAAGTTGTTATTAGTGTAATTACTACGTGAGGTGAGGAAGGGTGAGGTGATACTGTGTGGTATGTTGTACCAGGTGAAGATATTTAGCATGTATCCACCATTCCATAATACTTTAAAATTTATTTCAGTCGAATTAACAGTTATATCGTAATGAAACCGAATGGATGGATGTATATAATAAATGTCTTGAATGTATATCAACTTTCCGTTTACTGACTTCATTTGGCTATGGAGTGTCTTTTCCACTGCGGCATTTTCAGCCGCATCTATTTCGAAATTGGTATGTTAATATTGTTATTGATAAAATGCAGTTTTGTCATTAAATATCTATTAATCAAATCACTTATCGCCTGATAGATGAATTAGGTTTACAATATATTTGAAATTATTATATTAATATCAATGTAATAAATAAATACCTATTATTTTATTTTTATTATTTTAAGGCGAAAGAGTTTCCTCATTAAACATAAAATGGATAAACCGGTCACACTGTCATTTGCTGTTCGTCCTAAATCCGAAGTTTTCAAAGTGAGTTTCTTTTATATTTCACTAAAGGGTAATATCCTACTAGGTAAAATCACTTTTCGAAATAGCCATTGCATAGGATAAGTATACAGACAGATTAACATAGAACCTTTTAGAGAATTACACTGACACAAGTTGCTACGCTGCAAAATAGAAGTGTGGTGATACCGCAATAAACCACATATATCATTAGTCTGATAGAACTATTAAGGATTCTCATACAGTAGTTAGGTATTTTAGTTAATCTAGTCATCCACAAACATCTCTGGACTCAAATTATCAGGTCTCGTTAAATGTACCTTTTTACTCTGGAGTCCATTTTTCCTGCTTCATGTGTAGTTTGAGGTTAAGCAATAATCAGTTGCTGTGAATCTATCAGCTGTTTGAACCGCTCATCAGAGTATTCTATTTAGTGACTCTATCTTCTGTCCTACAGGCTTTTAACATTTTCATCTTTCTGTGACATTTTTCACCATCAACAATTTTTTAGAACCTTTTTGCCAAAATGGTTGACAAATATTGCTTGGTACTGATGTCTTTTCCTGGGCTTTTGTTTTCTTCACCTACCATTTCTGACCATCAGTTTATGTATAGGCATTTTTCGCTGCTATACGTGTTTACAGGCAACTGGAATCAGTCTCCTAGCATCTAACACTTTCGGTGAAATCCTCTGTTCTCTAACTGCTTTATCAACTGTCTTTACTGATGTTTCTACAACAAACTAAATGCGATGTTCGTCCTGATGATTATCATTATCGTGCTTAGTTAACTTCTCTCTGAATTCAAACCTAATCTTTTCATTTTAGAATGCAAGGCGTGTTTATCTTCTTCATTGAGTCAGTCTCAGATGTTTAGTTGCGTGATCTAACCCATAGTCAGTATTCATTCGTGCATTTTAGAAGAAGAGGTAGTCCTTCACCACTTTTGTCATCTATGACTAGTAGTACACGTAATCCATATGTGTTCCTTGTTGATTTGATTAGTGTAAGTTACTTATACTATTTTTATGATAGTTGCTTTCAGCTTTACCACAATCCATCCTACCTTTCTGACGTTATTAGGCCTACAGAGACAATCCTTTCAACTTTTATAGCTTGTTGCAACATAACTGATTGCCATGATCATGATTGCAAAGCTTGGTCAAGGCAAGATAGATGATAACATTTTAATTTGTATATGAATGGTAAGCTGATACATTTTTGTTTAGATTGCGAGGGATAACTTCATTTAGATTGCATGGAGGATTTCATCATGAGCTGACATCGGTTAGAGAACCACTGGAAAACCTGGGAGTACTGGACAGCTGTTTCGTCCTATCTTGGGACTCTTCATCAGTACGCACCCACGGGGTTCGAATCCAGGACCTTGTGGTTACAAGGCGAGCTCGTATTCCATTAAGCCACTGGGACCCAATCCAATGGTCCTTGAATTCTAACTTCTGCCAATTCACTATATAGCGCGACCCCTAGCCAATGTCTTCAGCGAGTATTCGTCCTAACGCCCGAACTGCTGTACCCTACTGGAAGACTTGCATTGATTGAGGTCGAAAAAATACTTGTTTCAGATGCTATCTTAATGAAGGTTCCTGCCTAAATTTCAATCATTACATATGATGACTTCAGTTAGTTACGTCTACGGATTGAGAAATGGATAGTAACACATACACTGGCTCATCTTTAGAGGTGACTGATGTAATGGCGGGCGAGGGTTTCGTCGTATTCAAGACACTTCTTGTGGAAATACGTTTTTTCCAGTGAGTAATGTTGTTCATAGTGGTGCTGAAACTGATTGAGAACTTACAGGCACGTAATTACAGTTTAGAATATATATATATATATATAAGGTTCGTTTGATACTTACCGACTAATCTCTGGCGCAGATGTGACACCTGGCCAACAGCCTAAGTACATATGTATTGCACAGGAGTTCGCTCAATCCTTCCTTATAGCTGTGAAATGTGACCGTTGAAAGTGGGAAACTTAAAAAGGTTGTCCATCTTTGACCAGAAGGTTAGTCAATTAATGAGGTTGTGATGCTTCATCGATTGAGATAACTAGGACCTGTTTTTTCACTTAACCACCACCTTCGTCGTGCACTGTTAAGGGATATAAGATGAGGTTAGAGAAAAGTTAATAGTGGTCAAAGGGAAATGTAACATCCATCCATAATATCTTTCTTAGTTAGAACCACTTAGGGAGGTGTAGACTGCATGGTTGGTGCCAATGGTATGAGACTGTTCGTGATATTCATCAAAATAGTTCTCACCTTTCGTTCCCCCCCTAATGGACTCGCAGATCTGATTAAATTCCCATTTTTTTTCATGTAATTATTCTTTCTCTTGTACTTTTCCGTTCATTATAGTTTCTTTTAATTTTCTTATCTACCTCTGTGGGGTTTATGAAGTGCATCAACATGAAATGTTGCACTTTTGTGCAACGTTTTATGTTGACGACTCATTCAGTCAGTCAACGTATATTGTTATTAATTCTTATGGCTCATATTGGTTAGAGTATCTATGTATGTATGCATTTTCCTTATAATTTTAGTTATATTTATTACACGTTGCCTAAATAATAACCATATTGTATAATGCACTCTATGTGACCGTAATCAGTAAACTCCTATGTTTTATTGTCTTTCATGCTCTTACCTTCATAAATTTCAATACTCTTGTGGTTAAATATGAGCATATTACATTGTAAAATAAATAAATGAAACTTAACCGAAATTATATGATTTCTGATTTTGTTCAGAAAAATCATTTTGTACTGTAGCCTATTTATTTCAATTGTAAAAAATGAACTTTTTTCTTCTTTCTTTTTTACATTAAGCTTGTTGATGAAAATGGTTATCTTATTACGGGGATGTACCGGGTTCATTTACCGCCGAATCTTGAATATGAAGTTAATGTTGCCTATGTAGGCAAGCATCCAGTTTCTTGGGATTTTGCAAATTTATTTTTTCGTTTAGAGGATAAAACACTAACTCGTACATCAAAGGTAAGCTTTCTATTTTAAAAGGGTTTATATAACACTATACACATTCATGCTATACAATGCTTAAGCGAAATGACGTCAAGGCTTTGTATGCTTTGATTGAAATGTAATTCATTATCTAATCATATTTCATGTAAGGTTTTCGTTGTGCCATTAGTGTTGTGATGTTATTTTATTATACTTCCTCACATATGTAGCAGGGATAAGTACAGCAAAACCTGAGTTTCTTCCTGCTGCATTAGACGAGGCAAACCAGCTGCAGAAAGTTGGGGAAGACTTTATATCAAAGGAGTAATATACAGCTGACAGTTTCTAGTACTCACAAATTTTCAGTACAGGGTTTCTCGTTGATTGCCTACCACCAACAATTTTTCAAAATTTCTTTACGTTCCCAGTGGAATATAGGGCTTCAAACTAGAGGCCTGAAGTTTCGGTAGCAGTGATGTTTATTTTTTTATTTTTTAGCTTCATGCCCAACCTTCCCTCTTTACCAGTCTTATTGCTGGCTTAGAGAGGTAAAGGAGTACGTCGGCCGGGCATCGAATCGCGGACCACCTGCATGTTTGGTGAGCATTCTACAGCTGTGCCACCAACTAGTTAGCATGATGTCTTTTTTGAAGTCGACTATACGGAACAGATTTTCCGTATCCCAGGTTAAGAGCCACAATTATCATGTGTAGGTTGGTGGTATTCCAACCATTCGCCCAGTCTGATGTAGGTAGACCGGGACTCGAACCCCCTAACCTGTTGACTAAGAGCCGAGTACTTAAGCCACATCTGTACAGCTTGTATGATAGCTGTAACTTTTTGTGTAGATTTAAGTAAGTCAAGACTTTATTTGACTTTCTGGATTTCTTGAATAGAAGGTGGTGTTAGATATGATAGAGAAGATTTGTAGCTCAGGTGGATGATTTTGATGTGGTTGTGTTCTCTGAGCTGGATGGTTGATTTGCGAAGCTTTCATCATCCTACTAGGTGACATCTTCAGCGCATACTTCAATTTGAAGCCAGCTTTTAGATTTCTCCACGAGTTTATTAACCATCTCTCCTGGTGACCTTGAACGTGATTAGTTGTTTTTGTGTTTCCACACCTTCTAGGTTACTTGTATTGGAACTGATTGTTTCTTTGGCTTGAACTTTGACCCCTTGTGTGTGAGATTTCCTTCTTATCGGTTGATAAATTTTGTCTATCTCGATGTGTCTATTGATTGACGATTCACTGGAAACCAAGCTTCTAAAAATTCTCTAGCATTCTTGTTGTTTCCTCTGTCTGATATTTGAACGTTGTCCCAGTCGAATTGATGTCCGTGGTTGTCTGTATGTAGTGATATGAGGGAGTGGATATCATGTGTTTTGACGGCTAGCTTATGCTCGTGGATACGAAGACGAAGGGGACGTCCACTTTGGCCAATGTAGTGCTTTTTGCAGTTGTTACAATTTATTTTGTAGATGACGTTGGTTTTATCTTCGTTCGCTGTTGAGTTTTTGTTCACAAAGTCACTTCACTCAATTCTATGTCAGTCTCAAAGGGATGCTAAGTTCGCCTTCAAATAGTCAAGAATTTGTAGTGTAATTCGTTTTATCACTTATGTCATATTTGTGTCATGGTGCATCTTCAAGAGGTTTATCAAAATTTCCTTCTTTTTAGTATGTATAGAAAATTATTTAATTGAAATGATTATTGAATGTTTCACTTTGACAACCCTCGATACATTAGTTCTTTTTTCACCTAACCATCATAAAAACATGAAGTTCTGTTTCCTGGAGAGAAAGTTGTGATAGACATGTTGGTGAATAAGCCACCTTTCATCCATGAGACTATTGTTTGAATTTGGAACACGATTGTAAAGTCTGTAGGTTGAAAGTGAGCATTGGCTTGTCGCCTCTTCAAGTGACTAACGTGATTATTTACACACTAGGAACAAATCGATGAGAACACTCGCTCTGTATCTGTTATGTGCTCATTGAGTAGTTATTTGTCCTGACGCGTAAAGGGAAAAATCAGAAAGCCACCACGTTCACGATGATATGTGTATTTTCCAACAAGGGAAATTGACTGTCACACAAGTGTGTGAGTGAAAGGGTACGTAGTGTACGAAAGGTGTGAACAAGTGTGTATAAAAGTGTACAATACAAAAGCATATACTGGAATGACTAATATACATGAACCAATAAGATAGACATCTTACCATAATTGGATTCTGATTGCTTGTAATGTCATGCGACAAAAAGGTCATACATTGTTTATTTAGTTAATGGATAGACAAAGCATATTGTCAGTTATAATGGGATATCGATCAATATACACATAGCAAAATATAACAGACTGTCAAAAAGAAAACATACATCATGTGACTGCATATTAGTATCAAAGTTTATGCAACCTATTATTACAAATCTATATCCGTTCATCATTCCTCCGTTCATTGGCTTTCTTATTCTCCTCAGAGATTTTATTATTAATTCAAATAGTTGTATCAGATAAATTTGATTCTCAGTTTCGACAGGTTTGAATTTTAAATCAACGCTATATCTGCACATTTCTGTTTTAGGTGAGACTGATCGGATATACAAATTCCAGCCAGTTAGTGTATTACTGTTGTTCAAAGTTAAGTTCTAACGTTTATTGGACTGTAGCATCTCAAGTAGATCCTATTTGTGAGATGATTGACAAAAAGAATGAAAAAACAAATCCTCAATCTCCAAAATGCTGTTTAACTTCAAATTTATCTGGATGTTGTTTGGCGAGAATTACTGTCAGCAATTTCGGTGCAAGATCTGCATGGGTTTGTGCACGTGTAGAATGTTTGGATCAGAAATCTGATGATCAAAAAGATTGTAACGAGTTTTCTGATTACGGGATAGTAGTTGATCCGGAGAATTTGGTGATTGGATCAAAACAATCTGAGGTATGTTATCTTTTCATGACATTTCACCGCTTTCATTAAGATGATTGATGACTTACTAGGGATTAATTACAGGATTTCATCATGAACTGGCATCGGTTAGAGGACCATTGGAAAACCTGCAAGGAGTACGGGACAGCCTGCTGCATTGTCCTAGTTTGGGACTCCCCATCAGTACACACCCACTGAGGTCGTAACCCAGGACCCTCCGGTTACAAGGCGACATCATAGACCATTCACCCATTGGGACGCGATCCAATGATCCATGAATTACAACTTCTACCAATTCATGATATAGTGCGACCAATGGCGATTGTCGTTGGCGAGTATTTGTCCTCACGCCCGACCTACTGTACCCTAGTGGTCACGACTTCCCACTAAAACTCCAGGTAACTACCTACCTGAATAGGGCCAGTCGCTAGTGAGCATCTCATTGGTTTTCAAGTATTGGTTTGTAAGGATATGATTGATTGGTTACAGGCCTTCATCATGAGCTGACATCGGGGATTGGTTGGTTGTTTGCTGTCTGTGAATGAATAGTTGCCACTTCGTCAGGTGGTGAAATCAGCTGTGTGGATCTCTGAGATGTATTTCATTGAAGTACCTGCATTACATTAAATAAATGGTGTTGATTGATTGTTCCATAGGATTTTTCGGGAACATTTTCGTATGATAAATGCACCTTGCAATTGCATTGTCAAAACAAAATATTCATGAAAAATTCCCATTCGAAGATTAGTAAATAGAGAGAAGACCAGTAGTTTAGCGAAGAGTCCTTTTTCGGCGAATTCATTTTCATAGCTGTATAATCGCAAATATATATGGTTGTTTTTTATGTGGGTGTAGATTAAATTTGTCAAACAAAAATATAATTAGTAAGTTTTTGGTGGAATTACGTTATTCAAATGACGTTCAGATGAATTGGATGTTGATATAAGATGGTAGTAACAAAAGTGATGAGTTGTCACAAACAATTGTTAATGAAGAGTTTGATCAAAGAGTTGTGCTCCGGGTGCACATGGAAACAAAATAACAAACGGAATCACGTAAGAGTTTTAAGTAGTTAGGAAAATAAGCATACAAGCACAAGTTAAGTCAAACCAACAGAGTTGTTATCATGATAGTAGAAGCAGTTGAATAATTTTCTTTTGTATGCATAGTTCTGGTTCTTCTAACTGAATGGCTAGGGCTTCTGCAATGCAATACAAAATATAGTTAAAAAAAACTAAAAACTAATTAGTTAAGCCATGAGTAATCATTTGTAATTAGCAGATAGGATACAAATGAAGGAAGGATTCCAAATGCGTTACAAAAATTAAAATAAAAAGGTCCACATAAGGTTTATTATGTAACAGCAGAAGACAAGTGCCAGTCCACAGATTGCTTATTGAGGAAATCAACAGATATTTATAGATTTTTATGTACATTACTATAGGTTATTCTTAGCAGAGAAACAGCGTCTTCTTCTGATTGGTTGTTCTCTCGCTGAAAGTTAATCTGTCATCTCTTTGTGGCCGTTTCTTAAACAGTCCGGTGATATATCTGCGAATCGTATCCGCCCACGCTAAGTCTGCTGTGATTGGTTGTTGATTTCTTCAAGGTTGGGCTTTGTTCTTGTTTTTTCTCATGACCCCGATTTAGGACGTAAACATTGACGTAAATTGCTGTCTACCAATTTTGGCTAGCAGAGGGCTCTCAGCACACTAGGACTACAAGGTGTCTGGTCATGATAAGATGCATTTTATGAACTCCGTTTATGATTGGTTGATGTATTTTAAAAGCCTTATATAAGATAAACGTGAAGGAAAGCGATTGGCCTTAAAAAGTTAAAAATAGGCTAACAATGATGTCACTAATTAGCTAACTGGTGAATTAGGGAAGCAATTTAGATGTAAGCCAACAACTTTACTGGCTAAATATATTCCATCAGTATCAAAAACACGGGAACAAAGGAGTAAGAAAACAGTCTACTGTTGGCAGCTTTTTTCGTTGTAATGAAAAGTTATGCTGAATGAGAGCACTTACGAGTATGTATATCAAGCACAACCTTATCAAAGACTGATATATTGTGAAAGAGTTAATAGTCTATAGAGATCCACCTTTAAATTTGATACAAACCATGCAGTTAAGGAGGCATGAAATAGTAGTTCAAACACAACAGAAGGATAAAATAGTAATCCATACAGATTAAGGGTTCCAAACATTTTTTTGTTTTCATTTCTTTGAGTTCTAAGTAGAACACAGGATTTCAACCTTTAGCTATGAAGTTTCAGCAATGGCAGTGTCTTTTCTACTGCTAGGAGGTGGTGTTGCTAGCCTCACACTCACCCATCCCTCTTCACCATGCTTACTACTAGTTAGGTTGAGGTTATAGTGTGGTGAGAGCTGGCTGCTGGCCAAATTGGTAGACAGTCATTTACGTCAATGTTCACGTCTCCAATATTGGTCGTGAGAAAAATAAGAACAAAGATTGATTCAACAACCAGTCACAGCAGACTTTGCGTAGGCGGATGCAATTTACAGATGGATAATCTGGACTTCAATAAACGGCCACAAAGAGATGAAAGATTAACGTTCAGCGAGAAACCACCAATCAGAAGACTGTGTTTGTTTGCCTACAATAATCTATCATAGTGTACATGAAAATCTGTAAATACTTGTTGATTTCCTGAATAAACGGTCTGTTGCCTGGCCATTGTCTTCTGTTGTTACAATAGAAGTGGATCGACTGGGAATCGATTCCGAACCATATGCGTGGTCGAAAGCTGTCCACTTGTTATTTGGACTCACACAATAATAACTATGCATGCATTAATGTTTTCAGAGTGTGTGAGATGCATCTACTCATTTTTAACCAACTAAACTTAATGTCTCAGAGTTTAAGATCGACTTCAGTTATCTTTACTTAAAAACCTTTAAGATGGATGCTTATTATACATACAAATGTTGAAATGTGAAATTTGTATTATTGTTTAAATCTATATGCAGAGTATTTCTATCACTTTAAAACCTGGAGTAAAAGCTGCACGTATTGTGTTGTATCATGGCGATGAAATACTTCGTTATCAATTTCGACAATTGTAAGCTTCAGATTTTTATTTAACTTAATTGTTTTGAAATGAATAATTGTAATAACAAATGTGTTTTTTAAACATATAATCACATTATTATTATTATTGGTTGGAGGATTTCATCATGGGCTGACATCAGTTAGAGAACCACTGGAAAACCGGGGAGTACTGGACAGCTGTTTCGTCCTAGTTTGGGACTCTTCATCAGTACGCACCCCAGGGGTTTGAACCCAGGACTTTCTGGTTACAAGGCCAGCGAGCTCGTAGACCATTAAGCCACTGGGACCTCATCTAACGGTCCATGAATTCTAACTTATTATTATTCGTTGCTCACTAGGGTATAAAACAATATCATGGACCTTGTCTCTAATTAGTTCTAAGTAAATTCTATCAATCATGTGTGTGATTTTATCAAGTAACGTTATCAGTTGGATTAGAGCGGAAGCATACTAGACTTCCTTGAATAGTTGTTCATTCTCGGATTAGAATTTTTCAGTAGCGTGTATCACTCGTGTTCAGTTTTTACATGATTTAAAGAATTTTTAAGTGTTCTACTGATTCTTACACAAAATAGCACTTTCAGGTGTGTATTAGTGTATAAATTAAGCTGAGGAAGGGAACAATCCACTCCTGATATTGATAAGAAATTATTCATATGTAAAAACAGAGGTTATCCATTGCTTCGCCTATTTTTAAAATTTTTTTAACGTTTCCAGTGGAACATAGGGCTTCAAGCTAGAGGCCTGATGGGGTTGCTAGCCTCATGCCCAACCTTCCCTCTTTACCAGTCTTTTTAGTGGCTTTGAGAGATAAAGGAGTGCGTCGGCTGAGCATCGAATCGCGGGCCACCTGTATGGTTGGCGAATATTTTACCGCTGTGCCACTGACGCCTATAGTTGTACTCAGTCGACTTTTGAAAACACTATCAAGGTAAACAGTGTAGTCAAAACTGTATTAAATGTCCAATCTCCGTTTCTTAGGCATTTGCTTTCTGAGCATCTCTCAGTTTGTTCTCAGTAATTTGATAATTCCCACTGCAATATTAAGAACATAATATTCAACGAAGAGACTCTTTTCAATGAATTTATTATCAAGCTATGCAATCGTATATGTATGGGCTTTTTTTAGAGAAATTGTATGCCTTGATGAAATTTAAACAAAGGTGTGAATACATAAATTAGTAATGGTACGAGATGCAATTAAAATGTCTGTGATTACAATCATAGTTAAATATCAAGTGTCAAGTGACAAAACAAATGTCGTGTATATAATAGTTCATAGGATGTATAGATATTGTAAAAAGGTGTATAATTATAGGATTAGTAGGTAAATATAAAACATTACATAACATGCTGTGAAATTCGATAGATAGATAGAATTCAGTCTCTGTACTTAACTGTGTAATAATTGAAGTAGCTATCAATTCCGCTCAGCCACACACATGTATTCTGAGAAGGTTTAGTCGCATTGTACATCCGAAAGCCTAATTTTGTAAAAACAGAATACAAGGGCCAGGCAACAGATCGTTTATTTAAGAAATCAACACGTGACGAAATATTGGGGACGTACACATTGACGTAAGTAACTATCTACCAATTTTGGCTAACAGCCAGCTCTCACCACAATTTCACTTGCTTTAGCTATATTGCAGTAGTACTTTTTTTAAAAAACACACAGATTCTAATCGACTCTTAAAAATCCACTTTGTGTAAAACACCATATTCTGTAAATATTATGTCCTTTTTTTAGATACACTCAGTCTCAGAAATCATCGAAACACGAAAAGCCATCTAACAACAATCAGAAGGATAGTCGCTTGCGTTTGCTAGATATCTTGAAAGATTTTGCACATGAACAGTCTATTCAAGTTGGTAAGTCGATGTCTTTGCGGAGTGTCAGAAAGAGTTTATTTCTAACACCCGCTGTCTATTTACTTTGTTTTCAAGAGTTGGTTTGTAAGTATTAAATTTGTTTTTACGAGTTTGACCACGGATTGATATAAGTTAGACAACCATTGAAAACCAGGGAATACTGGACAGCTGTTTCACCCTAGTTTGGGAATCATCGGCAGGACGCACCCGCCACCAGGGTTCGAACCCAGGACTTCCCGGTTACAAGGCAAGCTTGTATACCATTGAGCTACTAAGACCCGATTCAATGGCCATTGCGTGAATCCTAACTTCTACCAATTCGTGATTTAGCGCGACCAACCAATGTCATAGGTGGGAAATCCATCCTCACACTTAGCTGGTTGGACTTCACTAATCACTAGTTTAAGCCACGTAGGAAGGTGTAGACTTGCTGACTGGTTGGGATCCTCGGGACGGTAAAAACCAATAGTTGGAAACAATTGGTGATATGGCTCAAAATCGTTCTCAATGGCTGGCGCAGGTGCATCCACTCCTTGTGACTTATGATTTCCAGTGAAACTATATTGTTCTTCGTCATTACTATTCCTTTCTCTCACACCTGTGTTAACTGTCTCTATTATGTCTCTCGTCTACGATCTTCCCTTGCTTTGTGTTCTACAAGGAGGGAGTGTGGCGACTTGGACTGCCTCACATCGATGCAAAGTCCTATGTGGAAAACAGACATTCAGACTAGTCACGACCTCTCACTAGAACTCCAGGAAACTCCATCCTCTAGCAAGTCACTAGCGAGCAGCAGATTAGTTTTCAAGAGTTGGTTTGTAAGCATTTAATTTGTTTTTACGAGTTTGACCACGACTTGATATCAGTTAGAGTACCATTGAAAACCAGGAAGTACTAGACATCTGTTTCATCCTAGTTTTGGGAATTTGTAATCTATTCTTTCACTTCTCTAAGTTCATTTTATTTTTGTTCTCATTCATATATCGAGATAAGTAACTTAATAAACAAAAATAAAAATTACGAAATAGCGAAGACAGTTTTCTTTTCGATGAATCATTTGCAAGAGCGCTACATTTGTATTCATATTTAACAAAGAATTCATAAATTCAACTACATGCCGGTAACTGTTGTAGAAAATATATTACATAATGTGAGGTTTAATGTAGAAAGGAATGACTCATTTGATTTTATTGTTATTATTACTATGATTACTATCATTATTATTGTTGTTTAGTTAGAACACGGCCTTTCTCCTGCAAATTTTACATAAGCCCTTTACCGTACTTCGATTAGCCTTTCTCCATTTTTTTATTGATTAGTCATTTTCCACACTTGTTGTGCAATTCCGAATTCTGTCTCTTTTTTCCTGGTCGCTATTTAGTCATCCTCTTCTAGATTACGCTTCACTTAACATAATACATTTTCTAGGCCATAGTCAGTTGCCAGTATATGATTGGTTTTATAAATTTTTTTGTATAAATGTCGACAAGGGTTACGTAATAGGAAAGACACTTTATAATATGGAAGTTTTCCGTTGATAGATTTTAAGCAGGGAATTAGTTTCCGATAGAAATAACACTTCTTCGTTGTTGGGTGATGTAAACACTGTCAGGTTGAGGTGCAGAGTTTTCTCAATGACTTTTTTATTGAGCACAGCAGTCACCATGATAACTTCAATTTCTTTTGCTAATTTTCAAGTATTGGTTTTGTAGGGATTTTGTTTGATTGCATGGAGGATTTAATCATGAGCTGACATCAGTTAGAGAACCACTGGAAATCCTGGGAGTACTGGACAGTTGTTTCGTCCTAGTTCGGGACTCTTCATCAGTACGCACCCGCCGGATCCCAGTGGCTTGCCTTGTAACCAGAAGGTCCTGGGTTCGATCCCCGGTGGGTGGTGAGTACTCATGAAGAGCCCCAAACTAGGACAAAACAGTTTTCCAGTGGTTCTTATGCTAAATTGTTTGTCACTATAACTAAAAACCAGTGATCTGATCTTAGCACTATTTATGCTACCATATCTAGTAATTTGTTATACATTCATAAGAGGTTCGTGGTCCAATAAAATCTCGTTTATTATTCTTTGTAGTATATGAAACAAAGGAAATATGTTTATTGAATAAAAGTGGCTATAAGTAACATTTATCATACAATCGGGTTAGATAACTTCTAGTCCATACCATGTATCATTCGTCTTATCTGTGCTAAGTTTCTCTTCTTTTCTCTACCTTTGTGTGCTACATGAAGAGTGGCAACTCGAACTGCTACACACCTGTGCAAAGTCTTATATTGAAACCAGTCAGTCAGTGTTAAGTATTTAGTACGATAACATTCTCTTCATTTCCTGAAACTTTTTATATTAGTATTCCAAGTATTTTTTGAAAGTTTTACTTTTAGAATATAGACTTAGTTTACGTGAATTTTAAATTAAATTATATTTGATTTAGTTGAACTGCCATCATCATCACACAACGATCTTCGACCACAAGATTGGCGTCAAGCTTTGATAGATCAAGTACATCATTGTGAGCCTATGTACTTGTATATTTATGCATCAAAAGAAGACCAAGCTTCCAGTTGTTTTAATCAACCTGACGTGTATTCATCTCATTCAGTATGTGAATCACTGTTAGAAAATTCGCTAACTAGTGTTCTTGTTCAACAAGATGCTTTTAAACAGCGAAGTTCTCTTAATTCTACTCTTCAAGATTTTACGGTAATGTTGTCATCGAAATCATTATCTAAGCGATCCAGTTTACAAGATGCTTGTCCACCAGCAACTAATCGCAGTCCCAGTATTTCGACTAATCGAAGGGAGTTAAATTTACAGCCTCCAAAGATAAAACTGAACCCTTCCCACACTTTGGTATTTCCATCTTGTGTTCATGGATGTTCAACAGAAGGTAATTTTCTTTCGTTTGTTTGTCCCACTGATGATTGCCTTTCTTTGATACTTTGTTAGTAGAATTTACATCTTATTAACCATTTGGGCATATTTCACCTACTGGCATGAATTAAAATGTTTGTGATGTAATTATTTTTGTAAGTAAACACTCTGAAGTTTAGTGAAAACTGTTAACTTTCTAAGGCCAGTCGCTTTCGTTTACATTTATCTTATTTGAGGCCTTTAAAATGTATCAGTCACTCATAAGCGGAGTTAATAAAATGCGTCTTATCATGACCAGACACCTTGTAGTCCTAGTGTAAGGGAGCTCTCTGCTAGCCAAAATTGGTAGACAGCAATTTACGTCAATGTTTACGTCCTAAATCGGGGTCATGAGAAAAAACAAGAACAAAGCCCAACCTTGAAGAAATCAACAACCAATCACAGCAGACTTAGCGTGGGCGGATACGATTCGCAGATATATCACCGGACTGTTTAAGAAACGGCCACAAAGAGATGACAGATTAACTTTCAGCGAGAGAACAACCAATCAGAAGAAGACGCTGTTTCTCTGCTAAGAATAACCTATAGTAATGTACATAAAAATCTATAAATACCTCTTGATTTTCTCAATAAGCGATCTGTTGCTTGACCTTTATCAACCAATTTGATTATTGTCTTAGTTATCCATCTACCCTTCACAGATGTGTCATCAATTGCATTTCACACTGGTTAGGGTTTTTGATATCTAAGTGAACAATGCTAATTAGAAAAGCAACGATTTATTCGGCTTTATGTTGGCGTTTAGCTTAACGCCGTTTTTTGTGTGAAAATGTTAATGAACCGCACATGTTATGGTAGGAATTCACTGGACAATACATTTTCTTGTTGATTGGAGTTTAGCAAGCACTTAATCGTGTGTTTTAGCTAAGCAATCCACATAAATGCTAGAACACTGTTGTATATGAAACAATGCTGTGAATAAAGTTGAGAATTTGTGCAAAGAATTATTCAGGATCATTTGTTATGCTTAGATTTTTCGGCATATATACAAGGCCTCTCTTAACTGTACTTAGATGTGGATATAGATGACATAAAGCGTTCGGATTGGTTGATTGATTAACCCTAAGAATAATAGACAACTTCCGGCGGTACCATTAAACTGGTGAACGCCCGCCAATGGTTCTGATTGTCACCCTGCCTGGAAGTAATTAGTCGTAGAGCCGTGTATTATTTTTAGTTGCCACTCCTCTCAGCAAGAGGGAGCAGGAATACAGCGTAATGAGCGTCAACCGCGAAGGGACGTAGAAGTGAATGAGTAAATCAAGGATAGATTAGACAATAGAAATTTCTAAGATTGATGAGTATTTAGCGCTCATCATTTATTTCCATATAACAGTTATAATAACGTCTCATTTCTTGTCTTATTTCCAGCTTCTTTTTCAGTAAGTTTAGAACAAACCAACTTTCCTATTCCATCCAGTAGTAGTGATTCTTCTCCATTATGGAAAGTGATTTGGTCAGCAAATCCTGTGACAGATGTACAAATTAAAAGGCCTACTGTAAATTCTTCATGTTCAGTAAGCAAAAGGCTAACTTTGGGACGGGATGTATTTCAGCTGATGAATACAAAAATCGATTCACCCAAGACTAATTGTCAGTCTACCGATAAATTCGACAGCCTGTCATCTGATCCTAACAAAGCTGGACATGGCCAATTGATTATACCCTTTCTTTTTAAACCTGTTTCATCACATGAATATACAATGTTTCAAGATTGGCACCTTAATTTTTGGATAGAACCATACTCACAAAATAAACCTGGTCATGAAGTACAAGTTAACTCAAAAGACTCCGTTACACTTTTAGTCACTTTAGAAGGTTCGGTAAGTATACGTTTGTGTGCAAGTTTTTCCTCTCGTAGGGATTGGTTACAGGATCTAATCATGAGCTGACATTAGTGAGAGAATCATTGGAAAACCTGGGAGTACTGTACAGCTTTTTCGTCCTAGTTTGGGACTCTTTCCTCTTTTATTTTCAGAAGTTTGTCCAGATTAAAGCTGTTTTAGTAGAGACTGATTTCGAGAATAGGAAATTGAGTGGGGATGTCCTGATATTGTTAATTATTTCAACGTTTGTTTACATATACTGTGTTGACTGTACAATAAAGATAAAGATTGTATGTAACCCTAGGTAAAGCTTTAAAATATCCAGTATACGATGTAATGTACATATTTGGAATGAAAATATGTGTAGGACAGAAGAATACAGATGTTTCTAATATGTTGGCATTGAAACTATTTCTATTTTTAAACTGTTTGATCTAGGCATACCGGCACCTGTTTTTTTTATCGATGAAATACCCATTTGCCCTTTTACAATTTGTGTCTGTTGTTACGGCGTCTACTTAATCAGCCCTTCTGGTTTCCGGCAAAACTGAATTAATCAGTTGTTGGTTCGACAAATTTTCACTGCGTGTGTATTACAACTTAATGCTCATTTATCTTCTCTTTTAGTGCTGTAAACCTACGCTAAATAAAAGATCTCCATGCGCTCATCTACAAAACACGTGTAACAGCAAACTTGAAGTGTCGTGTTCACTGTCCAAAGATCTCACATTCAATGATCGTAATGTGTCTCTGTCGAGAGAAAGTACTGCAAAATCTGTTCCTATAGGTCTACTTGATATTGTCGGTCTGCCGGTTATATTTGAGGTCATAGATTCAAAGTCTGCAATCAAAACTGGTTTCCACAATGTAAGCATTTGTTATTTTCATTTAACTCTGTATAACACTTTATGTTTAGCATTTATGCTGGATTTTGTTTTCTAAACAGATATATTTTACTCTGTGAGTCACTGTCATTCTTTTCGCTTCATTACTAGATTATGCTGATCAACCGCTTGAAGACAGCAGAGGTTTTCGTCAAACTTCAACTTCCAAATCCACCTTTTTATATGACAGAACCAAAAGAAACGAGGTTTCGTATTGCGTAAGTGCCATTTAATTAATTTTTAGTAATATTCCACATGTTTTATGGACACCAACTAACTAGATTATCAATACAGAACTCTACAGAACAGTGTATCAGTTCAGGTTGCCACATATCGGAGTAGCACTAAAAAGTAAAAAACAAATGTAATTAAGCTATAGAAGGCGAATTTTCTCTGGATTTCACAACCTAGTTATACTTCAGCTAACTTTCTTAATCGAGAAAAGCTGTGGCCCATTATGTGTAACACATGCTAACCCTTGTATTCGGTAACGTTTGCCTGACTTCCCCTCATTACGCCTAATTAATTATCATGTTATTCTATATAACCCAAAGATACTGGTGGTCAGATATCCCTAGTCTTTTCTTAACCTCTATCTTTAACTGCATGTCTCACAGATATGGAGTGAAACTTAGTAAACTTCTGATCTTTCCTTGTTCTCTTACGGACCCGTTCAGGTGGGCAGTAGGAAAATGACTTTTCATTGAAATTCACTCAAGCAAATGAGTTCCGTAATCTCCAGTATGTGCTATACCAGCAAGGCCGCGAGGATTATCTTGTCCGATGGATTTTCTTTTCATCTTGGATTGGTAAGGTGAGAAGATAACTGTACCACCTATGATCTGTCTATAAGGTACAGCATACACTCAAACCCTGAATTTTGTGTAGTAAATCCCAGGAATGATGTTAATCTGACTCCAAGCTCTAGGCAAGGAGAAACGGTAAAGAGACTGTCTGGTGAGTAGTATTCGTCAGACTAGTACCTTAAGCTGGTGGGAGACGTACATGGAGATGCATATACCATGGCAGTTTATACCTTCTAGTGTAAACAGTGATAAGAATTTACAGAATCACATATATAAGTTATTTACAGGATCACTAGTTTTACCGACAGTTTTACTCAACTTCCCCCACATACTTTCCCATCATTGTTCTGAAATGTGCCCAGATACTGCAAGCTGTTTTACATGTATATAAATTTTAATTTTTTTTAAACTCTTTTTTGGAAACTTCAGACCTCGTTCTCGTGTAAAGCTAGTGCTTAGCTTTCAACCTTATGATTTGGGACGTGCAAGTTCAGTTTTGGGAATCCGTGTTGAATGCCGCAACCAAACAGAAGCCGACAAACCAACTGTTGATACATTTCAAATTCACTTATTTGGCACAATGAACTAACTTTGCTTTCTTATATATTTCGCACCTACATGTATATTTCTATTGTGATCTTAATATTTACTGATTAGCATATGAATCAATACAATAATATTTCGTGTGGCTAAATAACTTATTCTCTTATTGTGAGGAACAAACCACACACTATTTGAATTTAAAAATCCGAAAACTTTAGAAATAAATATGAGATCATATAGAAAAACGATTGCAAGCTATACGTATCTGTAAGACAGGTTGATGGTTGACAAGATCAGTAGATTAGGTCAGAAGATCGACGGTCCTAAAAATCCATCGACAAGTGAAGTTAGCATGGTCATCTGATCCACTCTGTTGATAAGTACACGTGTCGTGAAGTCCTTAATTATTTATTTCTATTCCTCTGCAAGCATACACAAAAAAGCTTCGCGCATTCCGGAACCACTAAAAGTAATTAAAATGTATTGATTAGTGCAAGTCGCTACACTTTCCAGCAAATATTTTAAGAGGACGAAAAACAAAGCTGGCGATAGATAGATTACCTAAGAATATTAAAATTCTCGAAATCTGAGTACTGGATGCTTTTATGAACCTAATATAGCTACTGAACCTTGTCTATATTTCAAGAATACTGATTCTAGGCAGCTAGAACGTTTTAAACCGATCTGTTTTGAGCTGTTAGTACGCTGCTATTTGGCTCAACCGTATAAATTTAATTAGAATAAGAACACGTGAATAGAAAAATAGTTTTTTTATTATTTACAACTTAGTGTTACTCAGATGCAGTAAAAATTCTCCCTCTATCACGAGCTTTACGAATTTTTTTCGAAAGCTTCTTCGTCCTTCTTGCTTGGATATTTGCTGTTCTTTTCATTTGTTTATCACGCATCTTTTGTTCAGTGGCTTCTGTGCGTTTCTTCCAATTTTTAGCACTTTTCCTCTTGAGTTTTTGTACTTTTTTAGCTGATTTTTTAAGCAGTGATATGTCATCTTTAACCTTCACACCTTGAATAATAATAGACTAGTTATAATAAATTTGTCTTACCTTGAGCTTTTAGGGATGCGATTCTCCACTTCTTGCGTATAAAATCGTTGGATGTCACATCTGAGTTACTGGAAGTTGATTCCGAGTTCTTGGTAGCTTTTTTCAACAAATTTATAGGGTCTTTGCCGATGAATATTCCTTCTCTCTCGAGTTTTGCCAGTTTTCTCCTCTTCTTTCGTTGGAATTGTTTTTGTATTCCATAGTTTGTAATTTCATTTGGATCATAGAGTTGGATTTTAGAGAAATAGTATTTCTCAGAATCCATCTTATGATTTTACACACATATAGACAGATAGTATGAGTATACAATCTAGATAACCTATGAATGAAAAAAAAACAGCGTGATGGATAAGTTAGAAAATGACAAAAGAGTGCAACTCTGAATTTATATCATTTCTCTGGCTGGTTGTTCAGTATTCCGTCAGTCACATCCAGTCCGTATTTTCTGATCAGTTTACACTAAATGACAGAAAAAAGTGTTGCCGAGTATACGTTTAAAGCACTACGTGTTTCTTTCTTTTCGTTCAGCAGTACAGAAGCAAGATTCACTTAGTATTTAAAGTATGGTGCAAAGGTTATTTATGTACTATACGCATATATTGTATGTCCATGTTAAGAAGACTGGAATGAAATAAGGTGAGTGTAGTTTTATAACAGCATTGATGTAAGCCGCCTATAAGCTACTGAACCACAACTATGTCGTATGCAGAGCCATTACAACTGTGCCATACCTTACTGAACAATAAGTTCTAGTAGTTCTTAAGACTTAAAAAGTACTCTAATCACTCAGTACAAAAAGATGAATAAGATCATTTACTATTGGCACTGCAATACAAAAAGTCTGACCTCACTGCAGTAACGGAAAGTATAACTAGGTATTCTAAGTGCTTCTTATTTATTCCATACCGTTCGTCATTCTAAGCACTAGATTTTCGCTCTATAAGTGCAATATATGTTCTCTCAGAAGGTTCGTTCTACCATGGAGCCAGCACAGTAGATGTGGCTTATTGCCAAGTGTGTGGAAATACAAGTGGCTGCTAAGTAAGAACACGCAATTAAATGCCAGAATCCTTTATAAATGTGATAAAGATGGACTATTACTAGAATTTCTTCAATGTGGAAATGCAAGTTTGTCTTGTAGACACTCAGCGTGCTTCAGTGTAATTTGTCAATATAAATTACAATGCCGCTTTTGTTTCAACTTTATGCGATTTTACTTTCATTAAGACGCGCATGAAAGACGTCCGTGAACTTGCAGAAAAATGGGTACGGATTAAGATAACCGGATAAATAAAACGTGTCCTTTTGAAGCTTTATATGTAAATTAAGCTTCAATTTCTAATCGTCTAACATAAAAATACAAACAGATTACAGTTGTTCCACCACCCACCTCCGAACTTCACAAAACATAATGCAAGTTGTTAGCATTGTGCATAGCTACTAGTGATTGACTTACAAATAAAATAATGTGTAGGACCCTTGAACTAATAGTTCATCTGGCTTCTAGTTGTAGATCGAATGAATGACAGCCTTAAAGCTTTCAACACTTTAGAGTATTGAGAAAGTCATAGGTAATTAGAAGTAAGTGAGAACAATGAGACCTAGTGGCTTAACTTCAGAAATGCTTAGTGATAGTGAACGGAAATTAGTCGTTTAACAACTGGTTGAAACTGTAGTTCATGCCCAGGAATCAAGCATCATTTCACCTGATTGGCTTTATCAACTGATTGTCTTCGAATTCAAAGAATATTACTTCATAGTAGCCATATACTTTTAGAGACCATTAGGTGCCATTTGTCTCCTAAATGTAACTGTGAAGAAAGAAACAAAAATATTCTAAAGCCAAAATTGGATAATTCAGCAATCATCCATAATGGTAGTCTGCATTTTTATTCAAATACATGGATATGCGCGTGATGGTCTCTCTTTTTTTTCGCTGAGGTTTAATTCATGACTATTAACTCTGTGATCAAAGAAAAGCCCATATCCTTGTTGGGTAAATCAGCTAAAGGTCTGGAGTACTTACGTTACCAACATAAACTGTCGATATTCAGAAGGATTTGAGATATCACACACATAAAAAAAGCCGACCACAACATTCTTGTGGTCGACGAAGTCTCAGTAGTAATGAAAAGTAATATAATTCGGTTATGCTAATCACTGAATCTTTGTTTATATAAACATATCATCCCAGTTACACGGCTTCACAATTTGTCTTATATATATTCATCTTTCTCTCTCCGCCTTGTTGTTCGTTACTATTTTCCGAATCCCCAGTATAGGCATTGCATCATTTCTATTGCACGTGTGCGGTGTTGAATCGAACCCAAGCTTACTATAATGCTAAATTAAATCTCGCAGGTTCTGAATTAACTCTAACATTCTATAATGAGTGAATAATGAAATGGATTGATTATGCATAGAAGCTACAATTCAGTGCTGGTTTTCAGCATGACTTGCACTAACGTAGCACCCTGTGCTTGTTTCAGGCATTTTTAGAAGCAGCTCAGAACCTACTGGGTTTACTAACCACTGTTGTTTTAGTCCAGATTCAGCGTTGACTGGAATTACTTCAGAATAAAAAGACTTAGTTCAGCTCATAGTGGCAATTTTTTAGCTTCATTCCAGTGCTGAAGACATTATTTCACTTGCAAATCCTATTTCTAAGGTTTCGTCGCATTAATGAAGTGTCCGGTGCTCTTTTATTGAACGACCTGCGCTACTTCAGTACATAGTGGGTTTATTTTAGGTGGATAAAATATTCATTTACCATAAAGGGACATTATCGACGCGTATGTTAGTATTACTTTAGAATTTTTGTAAGCGGCAAAGTCTGTCCGTCTGTTTTCGACATAGAAATTTGCACATATGTGCGGCAGTTAAAGCCGCCACACTTCACTCCTTGTAGCACACAAAGCAAGAGAAGAAATGCATAATAGAGACAGTAAACAGAGGTGTAAGACAAAGGAATAGTAATAACGAACAACAATATAGTTTCATTTGAAATCATAAGTCAAAAGGAGTGGATGCATCTGCGCTAGCCATTGAGAACGATTTTGAGCCATATCACCAATTGTTTCCAACCACTGGTTTTTACCGTCCCAAGGACCCCAACTCGGGAAGTCTATACCTTCCTACGTGGCTGGCTTAAACTAACTGTTGCGGATTTCATTGACTGGTGTCATGTTTTGGTTTGACCTCCGCTAGCTCTTCTCCAGCCTGACCAATCCTATGTCAGCTAGCATTGCCCGTCGAGGAAGGCAAAGTTTAACTATCATTGCCAAAACCACAGCGACTTTCGGCAAGGCAATCAATCAGAATTTACATGCAAAGAAGTCACATAATCGTTAAACAAAGTACACTGAAAAATACTGCACACTTGATGCTACACTATATAGTTGTGATTTATGTGTTGTAAGAATGTCTCCAAGTAACAACACGTTTGATCTATGGAGAAACCGGACCATGAGCCAAATATCCATTCATCTACGTGACTTTAGGTTATGATATTTTGAGATCCTTCAGTATTTCTGACACTGTTCCCCAATCAACCCCCAACTCTGATTATAATCCTAATTCTGACTTTAAACATAAACCTAAACGTTAATATTTAACGCTACAACCGTGCGTAACAGTATAGATTTGCAGAAACAGTATCTTGTAAATTAGAAGAATACTGTATCTATTCTGCACAAGTTTACAAAGGCAGGCGCGGTTTCATTTGGAATATTTCACAGCATTCCTTGTGTCAGATAACGTTTTGAGGGTCAACTTTAGAAAGACCTTGACTTTGGCTATGATAATTCAACTTCGCCTTTTAAGCTTGGGCATTTGTGCTAGAAACGCCATCCAGTTAATAATAATGCATAACCATGAGACATGTGAAATAAGCTTGTCTAATATAGAATTACATTCCACCACATTCCCCAAGTTCTACACTTACATCATATATTATTATATTCCTTAACGACGCTAGTGAGAGATTTCAGTTGCTTAATCACTCGTTGAAGAGTTAATATTCTTGTTCTAACCGGGTTTCATAAAAAATTGCTAGCGACAACGTCTCTAAGCCTGTCTAAAATCAACTGTACGAACCTCTATGTATAAAGTTGCAGCCAACGACCTTGTATTAACTTACCCTCCAAAAGGATGCGGTGAGTAATGTCCAACTTCCAATATATACGTTTTCATATATGTAGAACTTCTATGTAACTGTTACTTTCCTGAGCTAAACTTCAAAGCATTGAATAATCACTTCAGATCTTTGATGAATTTTTCAATGGATAGATTACTGCTTGGACTTTATGAATTCGTAGTGGTAAATGACTCACCAGGATTATTAACACAGCTCCCATCATTCAGCACTGTGTGCAGGCATTCGCAACCCAGATCGACTTGTTAAGCTGAAGGTATGTGGTCAGATTTGCGCACCACCCTACAAGCAACTGTGTTACGTTGTGCTGTTCGTGCACGATAAATAGTTATTTGACACAATCAACAGCCTGTGTGATTACTTGTAATTTATTACTTGGATTCTGTTTGCGAACGAGAGTTTCAGCAGCACTTTCAATTTTGAGTGCATTACCTACTGTCATCTGCTTGCTCTACGGCTCTGTGAAAGCTTTCATTTATTGTTCCCGTAGTCACTTCCATATCCCCCTGCCGTCTGACTTGTCGCCACTCATCTAATTTCTATTCGACGTTTAGGAATGTAACGTCACCTTGGTGTTTACACTGAGTACTCTCAAGCCATCTTCATTTCATTCGACGTATTTTCGGGGCCACAAATATTCACAAAGTTACCCACTCTAACCAGTTGACTTTCAGTATCAAGCGAAGTTGCATGTAGGCGAAGGTAGTTGGAGTACTATTGGAAATGCTTTCGCTGATGCGCGAGCAAAGTCTCCGAACTATGCAGTGTTACTTATATTAATTTATCGTTTAAAGTTCAGGTCTTGTTCCTTGTGTTTAATGTTCAAGATCTCAACACGTATTTTGAAGTAATGAGTGCCTACACTTCTTTTCCTATCCGATCTTTGGAATCCTTATCCAGGCCACCTCTGGCTGAAACTATGCTTCATGGTCTAGTGAAAGAGACGACTTCCTATGGAATTCACCCTACCCTGATTTCCCTATGTCCATTTGATATTCTGACACTGTTGCCTCTTCTACCAGTTCACTTGCTGTCGCTTGTAACCCTTCGAGCTTGTGTGGCATCGGACATGGGTAACCACCACAGTGTTGATTTCCTGGGATCTTCTTTCAGTCCAAAATCTCCCTTGCTTCTGATCACCTCCCTATCTGACATATGACCCAGTCCACCGCAACAAGGAAGGCCATCAGTGGTAGTACACAGTATTCTTCTGTTTGGCATTCTGGCTAATTTTGCCTTCTTTTACTCCACAACTCAACTGTGACTTTAGTTTTCGTAGAAAGGAGACAAATCCGTTGCTTGTCTTCATCCTCTCCCGAGTTTATGATCAATACTGGTTCAACCGATGATGAGATTTGTACATGCTGTTCTTCGAAGTCTCAGTGGTGTTGGTTTTGTTTCTTGTGGCATTGGATTGCATGCCCCGCCTGCCTGCTGAAGGCTTTACTGACCTGTGTTACTTATCTCACAACATATTCCGTGTTTCGGAGGGTCAAGCTGCAGTTCTGCTGTCAGTGTCTAACCGTTGTCTAGTTATATCGAACATGTGCATTGTTGAATCGCGGTTGCACGCGTGCATTATAACATCACTGCATTTGACCTACTCGTCAATGGCCTTACTCAGCTGAAGACATTCAATCAAATAAAAATTCCTACCGGTGTCACGGATCTAACTGAATATAAAACTACTTCATTGCATGGTAAATCTATAACCTCTCATAGTTTAGGAAAAGGATCAAACTCCAAAATTATAGTTAAGAAACCTACAGTTCCTCCTTATTAAACAGATCTGAGATGCTGAGCTCGATAATTGAGTGTCCAAAATTAACTCAGACTGATGGCCTGCAATATTTTCGCCCACGAACGTTCCCGACGTCTATAAGTTCTTGATCAGTCTTCAACCGGCTAATGACTACCAAAGCAATCACACTCGTTTATAAACCCTCTTTAATTACCATCACTAGGAGCTGGCGTCTCATTTAATGTCGGGCGGAGAGATAAGTACTGACAATTATGAGTACTCGGTATGACCACGAGAGCGGGAGTTGTCGTCTTGAATACTTCACATCACAGTAAGTAAAATATAGGGTCCAGCAACATGCATGACATCCCGTTAGTCAACATACATTCCTCAGCGACTAGCCGACTGAGCTTCTGAGTAGATTTTCGCACCCCAAAAATGGTATGGCAGTAAATGGATGTATCTCCAGAGTACTCGGCGGCTCTAATGATTACAACGCACAACTTACGAATGCATCAGAGTGAGTATTTTAACTTAAGGGAGGACGCAATATTATGTTTTGAGACTAACTAACTTCAATACAGCCAAACCTTACTGGCAGGGTTTTATTTAACAGAGAATAAATTTGATTACGAATAGACTACCACTTTTACTTCAAGAGCTCTTACAGCACAAAACAATTCCACTCTCGAGCTTCGTGGGTTCTACCTTTTTGGGAAGAGACTATATAACCGCTACGTGTGCACCGCCACTGACTTCATGTAGCAGTTCAGTCAGCACACATATTAGGACAAAAAACAGGGGAATCACATCAGTAAGACTGTGACTTCATTTAGCCATTGAGAATGTGGCAAGGACATGGAAATTAATTCACCAATAACTTTACTGCCTCAGAACTGAAACACTTGCTTTGATGCAGCAATTATACTAAGCATATGGGAAGTTTGAGGATATGGAAAGCCCTCGTTGATATGTAGCCACATGATGTGTGTTTGTTTTTGACAGTCTGTTATATTTTGCTGTGTGCATATGGATCGATATTTCATTTCAACTGACAATATGCTCTTGTCTCTCCACTAACTAAATAAACATGTATGACCTTGTTATCACATGACATTACAACCAATCATGTTAAGATTGGCTATTGGTTCATGTGTATTAGTCATTTTCGTGTATACTCCTGCTTTGTATACTTGTTCACACAATTCGCACACCACGTACCATTTCACTCACACACTTGTGTGACATTTGTTTTCCTTGTCTGGAAAATACAAGTATCATCGTGAACGAGGTGGTCTTCTGATTTTCATCTTTCCGCGTCAGGACTACTAACTACTCGACGGGTACATAACACTCGTCAATCCTAAATTTTGAAAGTATGCTGCCACTTCGCGCCTGCTCTTGGAAGAACCACAAAAACTGCTTCATCTCTGATATGGTTATGTTCTTTTGGCTGATCAACTTTATTGAAATGTTTCTGTCTTACGGACTATTCGACTGAGGCTGGTAATAAGAAACGCTTTAACCCAACATTATAGCCACTAGAACAGAACCGAAAAATGGGTTAATTTATATCATGTCTGTTCCAACGAAGGACTAATTTACTTATTATTTTCAGTTAATAATGATACTGTCAGCCAACTCTCAGAAACTGTCAATGTCCCGCTCTTACTACGCTGGACCTCACGCCGTCCCTAGAAGACTTTCAGAAACAAATGGTAATAACCAACGCGAAAGAAACAGAACACAGATCGGCGACTCGAAAATCCTTTATTCCTACGCCAATATGTAACCAACAATAAGGTTATTACACACAAAGTCTAAGAATAAATGTTATAACAACAAATCACGATAATACTTCTGATAGTTTTTTATCTTGCAGTGAACAGAGAACGATGAGACGATGACAGCTGGATAGATGACTCCGCAAAAAAATGGAGGAGTTGGGTTTGAGCAAACAACCATGAATTGTTCGTTCAATCTTCAGCTAAATTGACAGATATATTTATAAATATATATTTATAGGAGTCCGATGGA